GACAGACAGCAAATCAAATGAAGAAAAAAGAAGAAAAAGAAAAGAAACATATGCATGCAATCAAGACCCTGGCCAGAATCGACAGGTAGAAAGTATCAACCATCGACTATCGACAGACAAACCTCTGCAATAACTTCCAGCAACCCCCAGATCCTATCATTCGAGTGGAGGAGCCCACGAGCCAGGGATCAAAAAGATGGTTTCATGCAGATTAGCGCGCCTCTATCACTCTCTTGTCTCTTCTCGGTCTGATAGGCTGGGGTAGGAGACTCCGTACCTAAGGTAATTCCAGTCCAGTCCCTCGGATGGGTTGGAGGACCGGGCTGGGTTGGGTCAGAAGATGAGTAGTAGCTGGTGGGGACTGCTGGACTTGGCCAGTAAGGGTGGTGGATTGGCTTTCTTCCGTTTTGTCTCGCGCGCAGGGTCGGTAAAGTCGAGCTTGCTTAGGTTTGTATACACTTGGAGGCTGTTGGCCGCAAGCGCAAGCTGTAAGCTTGGGTGTACCGTAAAGAACGGTTACTTCTAGGTACTCCCAACGGTTATCCGAAGGTATAGCAGGCTATCTGTTATGGATGTCGTGTAGATGTTAGTCATGAGCCTGGATCGCGTATCATTGTCTATTCTCTACAGTCTAGGAGTACACACTACCTACTGTGTACAGGCATCTGGTAGGTCTGGTTTGGGAAATGTACGTAGGCCGGTCAGTTGACACCTCAGTCAGCCACAATGGATAGCCTCCTCCACTGATCGCTGCTAGCCCCATTGTCGCCAGTCCCAGTCGCCACCGCGGACTGCAGATGCAAGTGCAACAGCAAGTAGGTCTGTCTCCCCTGCAAGGCAGGTTGGTTCAAGCTGAGACGAGACGAGACGAGACGAGACGAGACGAGACTAGACAGGTGGGATGGCTGGCCTATAGTCCTCCCGACAGGCACAATTCATCCGTAGCCCTTAGCTATAGCAATCCCATAGTAGCGGGGAGAAATAATAAAAAATACAGTGTACTGAGCAGTTATTACAACAGTGCAGGTGTATGTCCTCGTCAACATTCCTACTGACTCTGCGATCCACTCGAGTGGGGATTACTGACTCGGTAGTTGTCTTGTCCTGCGTTGGCATCAGGCTCAGTCTTAGACGAGGGAGATCCGACGCAGCTGGTCAACGATAAGGGTCAGAATGTCACGATGACGAGGACTCAGATCAAGGACGAGGGTACTGCAAGTATTGCAACTGTAGATAGTAGGTACATACACAGGCGGCTTGAGTGGACTGGAGGGGATCAGCGAGGCTGGCGAACCTGGACAAGGAGTATTTGGAATTTTTCTTGGTTAGTCGATTGGCTGGCGCGGTGTGACGTAGGAGGATACCTAGGAAGATACCTAGGAAGATACTTGGCTATCACGCACTTGGTACTAACACTTGATCGCTCGCTGAAACAAAAGGTAACTACTCCAAGTTTTGAAACTTGAAGCAATGGACAATGCCATTATTGTGTCTATCGCGTTGGTGAACGATGAGTGAACGATGACAACTAAAAATAACTGCTCTCAGAAAGCTGAAACACCCGTCCTGGTGATCATTAATTGATTTACTTTGGAGTTAGAGTGTTTTCCGCGATGCCTGTTTCTAAATTGTGGCGTCGTGGAGGGGGACTCGTCTCGATAAGCGAGATCGCGGTCTTGTCTTGTGCGTTTATTTCTATCCGAGTGGAGCTTGACGGCAGAAGTACTAACTTGGCCTCAAACGAGACAATATCCATATCAGTATTTCTGCACAAAATATGTCATCACAGAGAACACCTCATTGGCAGCATCAGTACTGCTATTGGCAGGCTACTTCCCGATCAGGAAAAAGCACACCATCTCCTCGGAGCCCCTCGAACCCATTTTCTGCCATGGAACCGTTCCTGAACCGAGAGCCGGGGTCCTCCAGTGGTCCCCGCTTGCCTTTGGAGGACCCAGACAGAGTCAAGAAAACCGTTGGTTGGCCGTTGAGCTGAAACGGCCGGGTGAAGAGGCCCATGGTTGCCTCTGTCGTGACCTTGTAGTGTGCTTGGTCGGTCATGCGGGCTGTGGGGCAGTTTGGTATCCTTGAGTGGGATCATGAAACTGTACTCTGTAGTATCGTGTCTTTACTTTACAGAAAATTCATGTGTTTTGAAGTATACTTTAAGAGGTACCTAGGATTGTGCTTGAATGCTAATCGGTGAGACATACTGTGGCAGCCTCGCAGGATCGGCTATCGATGCTTATAAAAGACCCATGCATATGCCTCATTCCAATCAGCAACCCATTAGAAGCTATTGGTATTGAATCCAGCCGGTGCAATATCGCTATGATCCTGCAGGAGTTAACGAAGCCGGAACGTTGACTAGGATCTGGACCAAGTGTTATGCATGTTCCTGCTTTGCATATCTGCCTAGGTACTGTCTACGGTATGAACAGGTGTATTATTCTTAATTGTAATTGTAGGTCTTAAAGGTCGATCACGCAATGCAAATATTTGACTGGAAGAAATCATCACATAGTAGTCCACTTGCTAGATGGGGTTAGAGTACCCGCATATGGATCGTCTATGATCAGTATTATACAGTATTCTTACCTTACCTCCAAGTACAGTACCCAGTAATAATGGATATACCACAAGCCTGAATTGGATCCCTTGAATGATAATAAGCATACCACCTATGCATCGCTTATAATACTTGCCAGTTAGCTCTCATCATCTGCTAATCAGTATTCAGCTCCACACTGCACTGCAGTATCACCGAGTCAGTCACCACCCCTGCCCTGCGCAGCCAGTCAATCACCCTGCAGTCCCCGCTTGGCAATCAAAGCGAGTTTCTGGATTGGGATATATTCAGCGAGACCAGGGCAGTTCCTTATCCTCAGCTCCCACCATTCCAAGTATTTGTCAGAGATGCAGCCTGTCCGCCGGGATTTACATTCGCAGATCGATAGTGGCCTCCGCGGGGGCTAATCACCGTCCAGATCAGCCATACATCCCGGCCCTGGCCGAGGTCAAAGCACAAACTGCTCATGCCTGAGGCGTTCCATTCCGTTCAGGTCCAGGGGCGCTTTTTTTTTTGACGCTTATGCTTAGGTACGCTGGTGCTGGCGCTTGCCACGTGGGGCCGTCACATACCAGCCGTTGAAATTCTCGGTGGTATTGTTATTATGAAAGGTTACTCCGTACTGCCTGTCTACGCCATGGAAATATAGGTACTTAAGGTACCAAGGGAGGTACTTTGGGTACCTACCTTCTATTTGAGCGTAAGGTAGGAGTACTCCGTACTCAGGAATCAAAATCGTGAGGCTTGACTGTATGGCATTACAGGTAAATACAGAATGTACGGATGCGTCTTAGTCGAAGCTGGCAACAACAACGCATCAGCCAGCATTGTGTACAACGGTTCTGCTACATGCGATGATATCAAGCGGAAGCATTGCGGCTGAGTCGGGGTTGCCGAAAATCGAAATTGCTGTGGCTTGACGATGTAGTGCATATCGCTTGGCGAACTGGACAGACGAATTCTATTTGCTCGGGAAGATGAGCAGGTGTCGAATATGACTTGCAGGATGGTAGCAGGATGGTATTACGACGTCGACATGCGGGTCTACGAGGTCTCTGGCAAGTCTGGATGAAGTATCTTTGATGATTGCAATTTCGCGGGTATGCTGAGCATAGGGGTAGATATGATGTTTACCCCTGAATTAGCGTCCAGCTGAAAGCAGCTTATGCTTATCCTCTGCTGACTTGGCTATAGACAGGGTAAGACTTGCATAATTCACCGTCATTCGCAGGAATTTATCAGGACTTCCTGATGGAAAGTTGTCGCAGGGTTACCAACTGCTCTTGTCACGGATATTCCCTGTTTTGGCATACATCATGTTCAAGGTACGATAATGAGCCCTAGAGAACAGCTGTTTCTATGCCTTTCATTCAGAGGACTAGCTAGCCATAACCTCATACCAGAGGCTTATTATTTTGGAATACTAGTCCTTGTTCCTACACTACAATCACAAGCAGATGGTCAATTTGACTGAAGAAGGGACGAATTTTCGATGCCCTTATTGAGCTGATGGTGCGATTACCCACTTGAAATTGATATCCTACCAGAATAGCATTGAAAACTCTTAAGCAGTATAAGACAAGGCAAAGAATCTCTACTTCGCAAAAGATACTCCGGCAAATGAGAGATCGACTTGGTGACGAGGCTACCATGCCTGCTCTCCAGGCTACGCTTCGTTGTATCCCGATGAAGTGAGCTTGACTAGACTGACGTGTCTCATAGAGATATTGCATCCAGCTGGAGCAGGATCTGTGTCAAGTTTGCCAACCCAGATTCTGCTTCTAGGACCGTTGACAGTGGAGGATGCGCCGCTGAAGCTACCTGGGACCAAAGAGCTGCTGATTCAGGTTGAAGCTTGTGGGCTGTGCTCCTCGGACATCTACTCCGTATACACCTTTCCCGTCGTACCAGGCCATGAGATTATTGGCAAGATCGCTGTGGTCAGGACGCTCGGGAAGATGAAGCAGGTAATATCGTGCATGATGAAGTCAATCTCGGGCATCTTGCCAGGTCTTTGCGCCGCACCAGCGCTGTACGCCGCACAGTTGATCATCTCGGCCGGACCCGCTGCCCGAATGTCCCCAGGCAAGCCAGCCCAGCACTTACGTCCAAAATGACAGATGCGCTCGAGTGAAATGTGCAAGGAGAGGGGCTCGACATTCAATTGCTCTTGGGAGGTCGGTAGGGATACATATCAGGGGGACTTCGTAATTACACCTATTGCTTAGGTCCACTTGGGTGCAACCAGTTTGCTACTCTGGTGAATCAGATCGCCCTTATTCTTTATTTAAGATGATGTCGGTGAAGTGATGACTTTATAGACCGTCTCCATCAAAGCACAAACAGTCCTGTGAATGCATGAAAAAAGAAAAGGAATATTCTACTGTTCGACCGTAACGCCCCTTCTGAACGGGGCCTAAGGCCTAGTAGTCTAATCATTCATTCTAATCTGTCCAAGTCTGGTGATGATATCCGCAGACAAGGAACTGAGTCTGTTCCGCATGTCGCTCTCCATCTGAGCCAACGTATTCGAACAAAAGGGTGTTGATTGCGTTTTGTCATTTCCATTTGCTACCTGGAGACGGCCCCAAATAGCGTGCTCCATGCCTCGAGCATCGCCTTCCATACTACCTCTTAGCTTTGGCGACAACCGATCCACTAATCTTTGCACCCGGTGCAGTTCGCCGAGGACAAGCCGAGCGGGAGCGTAACCACCGGCGCTATCGCCCCGGGGCATGGTGTATGGACGGTTTAGCGCCCTCATCTGGTCCTTGCTGCTAGAGATTACGCTGTTTGCTGACCTCGGCCCTGTGTCAGTCTCCACGCTGCCTACCCCTGAGCTGAAACCGAACCCCTGGATCCGTGCCGCGGAGGCGTAGCGCTCCAGGATCTTGAGCACGATCATGGAGATGATTACAAGCCGGAAGGCGTCCTCGGTGCAGGAAGAGCATGAGAGTAGGTTGCTTACTGTCTCGATGTGGCGCTTGTTCTCTACCAATACCGCCTGCGCGGAGCCCATAGTGGTCATGCTTGACGAGAGCGCCGGACGACTCGCGCCGGAAATCGAGGAGGCGGGGGACGACTGAGCAGACGACAGCGTCTTTAACAGATCGAGAGCCTGGGTCACACAGCCACAGGATCTGTCGGTGGTGGGGGGCGCGCGCATCATCATCATCATCGTCATATTAGGGTCTGTAGTAGACGACGTTGGAACGCTCGAAGCAAGCGAGGGTTCCCAAGACGACACGGCGAATGGCGCACTCAGAGGGTCATTAGTGTCCATCGCGTTCAGGCCAAAACTGATGGTCTCCCGTATGGGAAGCGGTCCCATATTACTCAAACTACGGGAGACACCGTCGCCGTCGATGGCGGGATGTTCAGAGTAATCCGTCATGCTAAAGGTCATGTCTATGGGGTCGGGGTCAAAATCCGGAAGCGAATGAAACATATTCGAGTCCGCCAGCACGGAAGAGAGGTCTGATGGATATTGGCCCAGAACGTTATCAGCCATCAGCGCAGCTTCCATCATCAAGCTCTGAGGTGTATCGAGGAAGCCGTTGCTCGCAGGTAAACTGATGGAGGGAGCTGCGCTGTTTGTCGCGTATCCCTGCTGGGGAGAAAGTCCCACGACCTCGATTTTGTCACCAGATCTGGAGACGGCGCTGTGAGTGTCCTTGTCTGGAATGGATTTTGGTTTCGACGATGAGGAAGAGGATAAAGGGGACGGGGAGGAGAAATTGCTGGTACAGCTGGTCGGGTGCCCCGAGCCGTCGTCGCGCCGACGTCCCGGGCGCCTCGCAAAGAAGTATTGGCACTCGATACCTCGGGCTTTGCACTTGGAGCACGAGGGCTTTTCTCTCGGGCATTTGATCTTGGAGGTGGCACAGGCGTGGCAGCTGTCTCGCAGTTTGGTGCAGCCCAGGGCACTGCGGCGGACGACAGGCGGCGCTCTGTGGTCCGCCTCAGGCTCACTGGGATCCAGGGTGGGCATTGTTGGTGTGGGTTGAGCGTGCTTCTTGACAGATCTCGCTCTTGTAACATCAAAGAGAAGAGTGAATAGTGTCGATCGTACATACATTCAACAGAACGAGGATCAGACGATGGCGGCCAGGACTGCTGATAAATGCGGGTGGCGTTCGCCCGCTCGTGGATTCTTGTTTAATTGATTCATAAGTCGCGCTAGTCAGATCTCTTATCGTGGTGTATGGGGAAGCAGTTGACTATGGCAGCTGTTACTGCCTGCTTGGAGCTTGTCCGGGCAAGAAGATTCAGTCGTCTCCCGTCCTGCAGTTCGTGACTACTAAAGTCTCACGACACAGATAGTGTCCTGATTGAAGCACGACAGCTCAGGGGATGGATTCCGTCTTGCATCGCTAGCGCTGACTGTACTGGGGGCCCTCGCCGTTTGGGCTGTTGCTAATTGTCAGCCATCAAATCCACTACGCCAAAAAGGTGTCTAGACGACCATTTCTAGCATAGGAGAAATGATAAGGCTTATACTGGTTGACACTAATCCACCTTGCTTGGCTTTGGCTCGGCCAAACCTTCCTAACAACAGACGTAATTACTAATTGCCCCGGAGCGCCATAAGTTAAGAGGATCAGATCTCTCGGGGCGGTTGGTCAGCAAACCCTGGGATCGTCAGCTAAATCCGCTCGCGCCGATTTGTCATAATCCCAGAATGGCTAGAGGGCATCTCTGTCAGGGCCATGGTGGAACAGATGGCTCTGATGGCCCTGATGGCCCAATGGGCGAGCTCCCTCTGACTAAACAGCCCGGAGCAGCTGGAGTATAAACCCTAAGTTGGTCACCAGAATACAGCATCAACCACCTCGTACACCGTCCAGCGTATCCAGCGCATCCAGCAAACCCAGCGAGTCCGGAATTTCATACCCTATCAGCAGTCGGTCCGACCAAAGGGAAAAAAATCCGAGCACACGCTTTCAAAATGACGACAAAGGAGGAAGAGAGTGGGGCGACTGACGGCGGCTATTCCACGCCAGATACGGCTGTTCAGGAGAAGCATGAGCTGCATGATGATGGTGCGGCCCCTGAGCCCGAGTACGCCGAAGGCTTTCGGCTGGCCGCCATCATGGGCACGATCTTTCTCAGCACCCTGCTGGCGGCGTTGGATATTGTGAGTACTATTGAAACCCCCCAAACTCCTTGTGCTGGGGCCATGAGAAGTGGACAGAATAACGGATGTGTGTGTGACTGTGTGCGTCTTTAGGGCATCGTCGCCACGGCAATCCCGGGCATCACGGACGACTTCCACCGCCTGGACGACGTCGGTTGGTATGGAAGCGCCTGTTTCCTTCTAGTTGGCAGCTCCTCGCCTATGTGGGGAAAGCTCTACAAATACTTTTCCGCCCAGCTCGTCTATCTCACCTCGGTGGTCATCTTCCTCGTCGGCAGTATCTTGGCCGCGGCCGCGCCAAACAGCACGGCCTTGATTGTCGGTCGAGCGCTGCAGGGTTGGGGTTGCTCGGGGACGCTGGGTGGCTCCGTGCTCATGATTAGCTACGTCGCAGAGCCTAGGAAGCGGCCCATGTTGATCGGGATGTGGATGTCGGTCTTCATGTTCTCCACCATCATCGGGCCCCTGATCGGTGGCGCGTTCACCAGCGAGGTCACCTGGCGATGGTGCTTTTGGATCAACCTGCCGGTGGGCGGTCCCGTCCTTGCGCTAGTCGTGCTCTTCTTCAAGGTGCCAAAGCACATCAAGCCCGCCTCCGCCACATGGGTTGAAATCCTGCGTCAGCTCGATCTCCCGGGCTTCACCTTGCTCCTCTGCTCGCTCATTTGCTTCATCTTGGCCCTGCAATGGGGCGGCCAGACCAAGCCGTGGAGTGACGGCTCTGTCATTGCCACATTGGTCTTGTGGGTTGCACTGACTATTGCCTTTTTCGTGGTCGAGTGGATTCAGGAAGAGTACGCCATGGTGCCCCTGGCCCTGCTGAGGCCGCGTCTAGTGTGGACCAATGCCATGTATGGCTGGATGTGAGTAGAAATCCCCAAGGAGCAAAATTCGCCGTTGTTTGAGGGCTAACCCTCAATTTCCGTCAAGTGCCAATCTCGCCAACTTCCAGGTGCTTTTCTACCTGCCCATCTACTTCCAATCCATCCACGGCCAGTCGGCCATCGCGAGTGGCGTCAACAGTCTTCCTTTCATGGCTTTCTTCGCTGCAGGGTCCATGATCAGCGGTTTCCTCATTGGAAAGACCCGCTTCCTCCAGCCGTATGAATTCGCCAGCGGAGTACTAGCCACAGTAGGCGCTGCCCTGCTCTACACTCTCGACGTCGACTCTTCAAAGGCCCGTTATATCGGCCCTCAGGTCATTTTTGGCATCGGCATTGGCCTCGGGAACCAGGTCCCCATGACTGCGCTGCAAAGCTTTTCCAAGCCTGAACATATCGCGCCCACCACTGGTGTCATGCTCAGTAAGGTTCCCCCCGGGGTCCTCTCCTCTCCTCTTTGATCTATGTGAAGTAGCAGGTTCCTGACGTGTGGACCAGTGTGCAACTCCATTAGTGGTGCTTACTTTGTCACCGCGGCGCAGTCCATCTTCGCCAACTATATGCTCAAGGCACTCGCCAGCAATGCTCCCAACATCGACCCAGTCCGAGTCTTGACCACTGGTGCATCTGAGATCTCCCATGTCTTCCAGGGCGCTGACCTAGCTGCTGTACACAAGGCTTACATGGTGGGTATCAAGGACGTCTTTGCTTTCTCGCTTGCCGGCGCAGCATTCACGGTTCTCCTGTCGCTTGCGATTCCCTTCAAGAAGCTCCCTGATCCTGCTGCGGCCCCGGCGAAGACCGAGCAGAAGACTGAGTTTGCTGCCTAGAAGGGAGATCTCACCAGCCCAGCTGAAGAAAACGCGATTGGGAAAATGCCATTGGAGTACGCGATACTAAATTGGGAGATTTGATCTGGGGTGATACTCAGAGGCAATCGTTTCGTTTCCTTTTTTTCTTTTTTTATTTCTTGCTATTGCTCAGATAGGTCATAGAAGAATAATACAGTCCTACAGCCCATGCTTTACCATGACAGTCAGAGTTCTTCGTGTAGTGCTGTACCAGTTCCATCTTCAATGGCCTGCGTCCTATACAGCTCTTACTACAAAAAAATATTACTTGTTAATTCTCAGGCTACGCTCTCAGATCTTGTGTCTTTGCGGCGAACAAGCAGTTTGGAGAAGATCAACGATGCGAGTAGGCATATCTTCCAAGATGTGATTGATCATCACCCCGATGGATGGCGTGTCATCAACGAACAACTGCTCGTACTGCGTGACTCGGGGCAATGTGTCAGACGATGGCAAAACAAGCCGACCTGAGCGGAATTAACAGGAATCCGATGGCTGAGCATGTTTTGTGCCAAAGTAGAACAGTTTTATAGTATATATGGCCTGAGACGGCACAATCCCCGAGGCAGGCTCGGTGAGAAGCCCATCAGGGGATGGCCGGCCGCCGCTGCTTACGCGGCTGGGCTGGACGGGTTGACTCGCGCGCTGGCGCTGGACCTGGCTCCGCTCCGGGTCAACGTTGTGCATCCCGGTGCGACGGAGACTGAGCTCTGAGGGCCCACGCCGGAGCAGCGGAGGGGGACGAGCGAGTTCTTTGCTTCGACGGCCCTGCTAGGCAAGGTCGGGACACCGGAGGAGGTGGCTGAGGCGTTTGTCTATTTGCTCAAGGATTCGAATATTACGGGGACTAGCCTGCATTCAAGTGGAGGTGTGCTGGTGCAGTGACAGAGGGGAAGACCAAGTGTCATTAGCCGGTTATCAGACAGATACTATGCCTGGACCTAGACCCTGATTTATCAGCTCATCATTTGTCAATAGCCCGAGGCAAGTTGGCGGCGAAACTTGATCCAGGTTGAGGTACAAGTAGATCTAGAGGGCAGCTCGTAGATAGAAAATACCCCCTCTCTGCGCTGCAACCACCCCGAAATTTACCTTTCCTTGTAATATAAGAATTGCGAGCAAGATTTTGATATCTGCAGTGATTGTGTGATGCTATTTCCGCCCTGTTTCTTCAGCACTTTTCGTCTGCGCATATTTATTGGTGTTGATTGACAACAGGGCGATTGACTCCTCTAGAATAACTAACAGCGGGAATATATTGTTGGCGCTTTTCATATCAGTCACAGGTATCAAATCAGGGTCGCTCATCGGTTGTGATTGGCCAACAAGGCTGGCGAACAATATGATGCATGTAGGTCGATGCATGTTCCTTTGGCCCCGAGCCAACAACGAGAAACAATCACCAATCAATAGCCATGTCCGCATCATTGAGCTGAAAACAGACCTTGAAAAATGGATTGGAGTGTCCACCTGGCCCTCGATTTTCTTTTTCCCCAACCGGGGCAGCCATTCAGCTCCTCCGATAGGGCTAATTTGTTTTTCCACCTCCAGCAAAGCAAATCCACACCCATGCTTGAGTCCTTAAAAGGGGAGCCACGCCGGCTCCAAGGCGCTTTCCCCTGAGGGACAATTCCATGTTCCAGCCATCGATGTGGTGAAGTCCTGCCTATCAAGATGGGGTTCCGCAGATGGCGTTCGCGACTCAAGGGAAAGAAAGGAGAGTCTAGCTCAATAGACCAACCTACTGTAGGTGGCTCCTCTGCTTCTCCAGACACAGGTCCCGGGACAGAAGAGGTGAAACCTAATCCCAGCGCCTCCGTTCCCGAAGCGAAACCCGAGATAGAACCATTATCAGAAGCCCGGAAGATATGGGAAGAAGCTTATAATTTAGTGAAGAACGATGAATCACTGAAGAGCATCGTGGACGAATATGAGGCAGAAATAATATCCGAGCTCCAGTCGCTGACTGCTGACCATGACGGCCACCGAACTGGAGCAACTAACACGAACACCTCTCTGATTGGCAAAATCGCAAACCTCGACCCCGAAAGTCGACAAAATCTCATGATGAGGCTAGTGAACAAAGACGGTGACCGGCCCGATCGATTCAAGACAGTCTCGCAAATTTCAACCGTTCTTGAGTCGACCAAGACAACTATCAGCTCAGCGCTTGATGTTTACCCACCGGCTTCCATGGCCTGGGCAGGAGTTTGTCTGGTCCTAACGCCCGTGAGTGGTTTTGCCTCTCGAGATGCTGGGATAATCCTGAATTAACAACTTGCAGGTCTTCAATCATGTGAAGGGGCTCAAGGAGAATTGGAACGGACTCACCTACATCATCTCGCGGCTACCCTGGTATATATGCTTGATCGATCTTCTCATCTCGGAACCCTGCAGGACTCCGGAGGGGAACCAGAAGTTCAAGGTTCCCATCCGAAAGGAGATCGTCAACCTCTACCGGCTAATCATCGAGTACCAAATGCTCACATTCCGGGCTTGTCGTCACCCATCCCGTGACTTTGCGAAGAACATCGTTGGCTTGGCCGAGTGGACAGACAGGCTCCAGGACATCAAGTCTGCCGAACAACAGGTCAACGAGTTGGTGCGTCACAACCACATGACGCAGGTCCTCGTCAATCTGGACGAAGCCAATAAACAGTCCAAGTCTTTGCAGGTTCTGTTCGAAAATAGAGACCGGTTAAGCGAACAGAACAAACTGATTCAGGAATTCAAACCGAACCCCAACCAGCACGATTACCAGGCTTATGGAGCCTATTTCAACCACATCGTGACCCCCCTCGAAGGGACCAACTATGGGGTTCGCAATCACCCGCGGTTCAAACGATGGGAATCCGGAGAAGATCGCCTGCTTCTCCTTGTGGGAAATCCGGGAACTGGCAAGTCTGTCTTCACCAAATCATTGCTGAAAGACCCGTCCAGACCCGATTCAACGACAGTCTGTTCATTTTTCTTCAAGGATAAAAGTGGCCAGCAAAACAATGCGAATGTCGCGCTTTGCAAAATCCTTTATGAACTGTTTCTGGCCCAAGGGGATCTTGTCGCTGGCGTCCAAGAAATGGTCAAGCGTTGGGACAAAGATGACATACGATGGAATCTCGACAAACTCTGGGACGTTTTTGAAAGGGCAACACAAGGGGCTGCTCGTGACAGTATAATTGTTCTTCTGGATGCGCTGGACGAAGCCGACCCAGAGCAGAGAACCAAGTTGCTCGAGCGGCTGCGACAGTCCTCAAGTCCGTCAGTCAAGTTCCTCCTGACAACACGTCCAATTCAGCCTGTTCTCAGCATCTTTGAACAGCGGAAAGAAGCTATCCTGGATTTGAATGATGACCCGAAATGCAATCAATCCCTTGATGACGACATCGCAAAAGTAGCAGACAGCCGATTAGAAAGAATTTGTCAGGACAAACTGATTGAGCAAGAAAATCTCAAAGCAGAACTACGTGATCAACTCGAGCAGCACATACGGGATAATCATACTTATCTGTTTGTTGGACTGCTCTTTGACTATCTCGATAAGCAACCGATGCAACGGCTTCCGACCAAATGGATTGAGACGTTCAAGTCGCTGCCAACCACAGTATCTGATGCTTACAGAGCTCTGCTGGATAACATTCGAAAGGAAGACCAATCCGATGTGAAGACTATGCTTCAAATTGTCCTTGCAGCACAGAGACCGCTCACGGTCAGGGAGATGAACGTTGCCCTCAATATCAGTACAATCGATGGTATCCACAGTGCCGAAGACATGCAATTAATATCCGTCGAGAAGTTCAAAAGATGGATTTTCCAAACCTGTCACTTCTTCCTGGTCATCTACGATAACAGAATTCATTTCATCCACCAGACTGTCCGGGACTACCTTCTACCCAACCAACAGGAGGATAAAAGACCCGAGTGGCTGGCTGACGATTTTTCCGAAGAGAGCTGCCACCAGGCTATTATGAAGAGTTGCATCCAATATATATCCGCTCCATTCGTCCAGGCACCCCGTACTACAGTGAACAGTCTGGAACAGTTCTTCAACGCCCCTCTCTACACGCAACTCGAATGCCAGCAGTGGTTCTATGACCTAACTCAACCGCGTGCTGCGTCCACTATTATCGAGCATGGGGAAAGTCCCAGCGTCACAAAGATAGAGGACAGTCTCAGACCGTCTGAAGAGACCTTGAGGGAAACGCACGAATTTTATGAATATGCCTTCACACAATGGTTCGTCCATCTGGACTTTATCCGGAAACATGAGAAGAAGAAATGGCCGGAGATACTCGAGGATATCCAGAAACAATATGTCTCCATGTCGTTTGATCTTGCCGAGTTTATCTTCTGCTGCTCTAGCCTCCCCTCCAAGAAGGAGGTGGAAGTATTCACAACCATGCCATCAATGGGTGCCGGTGATCGTGATCTCGCTCTGAGCTGCTTGACGCAGGGCCTAGTTACACGGTATCACAGAACTAGCCTAATGTCCGAGTTATGTTATGCCATTGATCTGGCGAAAGAGGTCATCGGCCGGACTGATACCAATGATCAGAGGCTAGGGAGGAGACTTGTGGACATAAGCAGGGCTTACATGCAACGAGATATGGAGAGTAGCGGCGATTATGCTCAGTTGGCTCTCGAAACTGCTGTGCGAGCGATCGAAGTGACTTCGCCTGACCATGTCGATCGGTCTCGAGCTTTGAAAGCTCGTTCTAACGCTCTTAGCGTGCGGTTTCTCAATAAAAAGGATGATGAAGACATTAACGAGGCGATTTCTGATATGGAGAGCGCTCTTAACCCTACATTATACTCTCTGGACAAGCAAGACGAGGCGCTTTTCTTGCACGATCATGCAATCTACCATGGTTATCGGTACCTACATAGCAGAGCAGCTAGGAGGGACACGGATCTTGACAGGGCTATTACGGCTGCCCAGCAAGCAGTAAAAGGTGTCTCGTCCCGCAATCCTCGCCGATGTAACGCATTACATACGCTGGGTGTGTGGCTCGGAGTACGCGCCAGAGAAACGAAGAAGAAAGAACATGTCGATCAGGCCATCGAAGTGCATCGAGAGGCCCTCAAGAGCACGCCGCCTACGGGCGCTGATCGTGCTTCGGTACTACGTAGATTAGCATCCCAGCTGCTGCTCCGATATGAACTCGAGGGCTCAAAGGACGATCTCCAAGAAGCTCTGGGCTTTGCCTGCCAAGCAATTCATACCATTCAAGAGTACCATAATCTCTACCCCCAATGTTTGGATCTACATGCACAAATACGGGAACTTGCCGAGAGTGAGAACCTGCAGCACGGGGATTGCGACGTTGGATATCGAAGTTTAACTCGCTGTATTCATATTCAGAACATTTCATCAAAATCCCGGCAGTGAACCAAGAACGAGAAGCCATATCCACCTATTTATTGTTAATTACCAAGTCTACACGAGATGCAAAGCATCAGTGCACTTGTCTTTCAGGATTCATACATACTCCAGTCGAGGAGGCTTCCGACGAAACTATGGTTGCGGTATGTAGAGGAAAGCACTTGACTTTGGACTTGAGAAACTGCGTTACTCAACCCTTCGATACCAGGCTGTTTACAAAGGGACGGAAGTTCAGGAAATCTGCCGTTATGTCAAAGAGTTTGCTTTTCAACAGTGTATATGTTAGGTTGCTGAGACTTGCGCAACTCGTGATCGTCTGTTTAATCACTAACCTGGTATAACGTATTCGGTAAGCGAGTCGGCCACGTAAGCGAGTCGGCCACCCCCATCAAGAATCACCACCCCTTTGAAACCAAGGCTATTCAGCCATCCATATCACCACGAAAAATGCCCAAATCATCAAAATCCTTGGTGGAACGAGAGGGGAGGATCTCCTTAGCAGTTAAGGCTATTCAGAATGGCCAAATCAAATCAGTTCGTGAAGCTGCTCGTGTCTTTGAAGTTCCCCGGTCAACACTTCAAGATCGTTTGAATGGAATCAAATTTCGCAAGGAAACCCGCGCCAATTCCCATAAGTTGACTCCTATAGAGGAAGAATCACTTATTAAATGGATTCTCTCATTAGATCAACATGGTGCACCGCCAAGGCACTTCCAGGTCCGTGAAATGGCTACAATATTAATCCAACAACGTAGTCAAGATACAACTTCCTCAGTGGGAGAGAAATGGGTATATAACTTCATTTCCCGCCATGATTCCTTGAAAAGTCGGTTTAGTCGTCAAATCAATTATAAACGGGCGAAATGCAAGGATCCTGAAGTTCTTCAAGCCTGGTTCAAACGCGTGCAAGCCGCTATATCAACTTATGGTATCGCCAATGAAGATATCTACAATTTTGATGAAACCGGCTTTGCTATGGGCCTGGTGGCTACCACGAAGGTAATCACACGATCATCCTGTGAAGGAAGGCCCTTTCTTATACAACCGGGAAATCGAGAATGGATAACTTCAATTAAGTGTATCAACGCCTCCGGATGGGCATTACCAGCATACTTAGTGTTGAAAGCAAAGACTCATATTCAGGCCTGGTATGAAGGTAATACTCCAGCTTCATGGAGAATTGCTATATCATCAAATGGATGGACAACACGAGAAATTGGTGAACACTGGCTCAAAGAACACTTTATTCCTTATATTAAGGACCGAAGAACTGGCCAATATAGCCTCTTAGTTCTTGATGGGCATGACTCTCATTTAACACCTCAATTTGATGATATATGTCATCAAAATGATATTATTCCTATTTGCATGCCTGCAAATTCCTCACATCTCTGTCAACCTTTGGATGTGGCCTGTTTCTCACCATTGAAACGAGCTTACAGTAACCTCATTGAACGGCTTGTACGAACAGGATATCACCATATTGATAAGGTTGACTTTCTTGACGTCTACCCAGAAGCCCACGCCCAAGCCTTCAAGAAGATGAATATACAGAGTGCTTTTAGAGCCTCAGGATTAGTCCCTTTTAATCCTAACCAGGTTCTGGATAGCCTCATCTTTTACAAGGAAGACAGCCGTCCCAGCAGTCAAGGCACTACATCTACGATTACCAAAACACCGATAAATTTGAATCAATTCAAAAAGCATGAGTCGGTGATCTCTCAATTACTTCAAACAAACCCTCCTACCTCACCAATACAGACAGCAATATCTTACATCTGTAAAGGTGCAGAGATAGCCTTGAACCGTGCTATTCTTCTTGAACATGAAAACCTTCAACTTCACCAGGCCATTAAGAGACGAAAGAATAAGCAGAAGCGTAACCAACACCAAATGAATGGTTTGAATGGCTTCACAATCCAGGAAGCACTTGAGGCATTCAACCATGTTCAGGCCTTAGAGGAAGCAGCTGGTGATACAGGGCCTGGAGATGATCAACCACGCCGTCGGGCACCACCTCGGTGCAGTATGTGTGGTGTTTTAGGACATATACGTACAAGATGTCCTAATCGAGTAGCTGCCTGAATTCAGCGCGTTTTAATGGTTAGATTAACGTGGAATAACTTCCTTTTTTGTATGTAAATCAGAATTCTAGGATATGCCTTGACCGGGTGGCCGACTCGCTTACATGGCCGACTCGCTTACCGATTACGTTATATATGAAGAGTGCTACTGCTGCTAGAGACTGGTAATAGAGAGAATAAGCTAGTGCTTACTCTTAGGCATGAGGATTAATTTCTAGGTATCAGCTCATAATCTAATGCTAAATTTTTAAACAGAAAAGCCTGGTTATAATATATAAAAGATACTACCCTTACTATTTCCATACAGTAATGAATCAAAGTCCTACTGTAACATCACGCCGCCATAATGCTACTGAGATCAGAGAGCTGTCAAATCAAAATCCTCACGCGCTTTAAATTATAGAGTCCTCATGGAGTAGAATATTTCAGATCTCGAGAGACTGGTGGTATGGTCTAGAGGAGGAGTGCTTTACTATGATCTTCCTAGGGTTCCAAAAACCCCTGATCAAAGTCTTCGTTGAAGATCCAGCTCATCGGCTCGGTGTCACCCAGATTGAAAGGCGCATCGAGAATCTGCCATGCCGGTCAGCAACCGGACGGGTACTGCGAACATGGAGATACAATACACTCACTAGAAAGTTCCAGTCCTTGGCCATCTCAACTGCCATATCATTCACTGGCTCTCCAATCTGCTCTTGCATCGAGGCTGCCATCTCTTCTAAGATTGGCAAGCATTTCTCTCCGACATTTTTGATGGCTTTGACCAGTAGACTGGTAGCTTCGTTCTCTCCAAGGCCGCGCATTAGCCCTTTGACCCAGGCTGAAACGATGCTCATGAGCAAGTAGCCTTTGACATTGGTCTCGCCGGCCTTGATGACCCTCAAGCACCATGCCTTTGCGTCCTCCAACACCGAAAGAAGGTCTGGCCGTAACGGAGCAGGACAGAGGCCGTCGTCCTCCTGTAACTGGGTGCACAGCTCCATCCCAATGAGAAACGCAGCATGGACGGCCATTCTTGGGTAAAAGCCTGAGCTGCAGGCGACGAGTCGCGGCAGATTGTTGCTGAGGGGACCCCTGTCGCTACTGAGAAAACCGGCCGTCAGCGATGGGGATGGGCACGCCACTCACCATAGTTTAAGCGACGACTCAGCCACCGTCTTTTGTGAGAAGACGTAGGCGGTCCTGTGTCATGCCAGGCCAAAGAACAGAATGTGCAGAGCAGAAAAGTAGCAGTGCATGAGGAGATTCACGACCTGAATCTCTAACTGAGAGGGTCCCTCGCCAGAATTTGTGTATCCTTGCAGGGTCTGTGCCAAGATGGGATACGCCTCTCACAGGTCTGCGTCGAGCCGGAGAGTCTCCTCATATGTTTCGGGAGTGGTCAAATCATTCAAAAACGTAACCACAGCAAGGCGATAGGGGAAGGTTCTGTGGAGTGCCACTGCTATAGAGGCCTTGGTAAAGTCTCCTTCCAGTCTCAGAACTGCATCGTGAGCCTCGAGCTACTCATCGTCAAAGTTTTTAGGAGGGGCCATATCAAAGTCATTAAGAGAGAATAAAGGAGGAGTACTAGAGGTCAAACTTAACTGTAGATTAACCTCCAGAATGATGTTTCAGAGTTATCAATGCATTTCTATTGTAAAGGTCGTCATCTGGGGTAGGCAGCTAGGATCCCTGTGAAGGCCCATGTAGATTGCTTTTTGTAGCAGAGCGCCGGCCGATACCTAAGGTAAATCTCTATTAAACCCCACTTGTTCCTGCGCAAATAAAAGTAGCAGGTTAGTCTAGAGAGATTAAATATTCAGCCTTAACTTATACTTTGGACCCAACATCTAAAGCTAGGCTTTATAGACCCACTAAATGGCTGAGGCCTGTAATAAAAACCAGTCATTATAGGTGATAGCACCAAGGGCAAGCACAAGTTTAACCTGAATCAGGAAGGCCATGTTAGGCCTTTTATCTAATATCCAGAGCACCTCATACTCCCTGCAGAAGGCCGGGACGTGTAGGATTTGATAGATAGATTCAGTTGTTCAGAGGAAATTATTAATAAGCGCGTTAGCTACCTCTTTAGGGGGCAGTGTAGACATTGGTAGTGATGGTCATGTGGGTGCTCGTGCTGCTTTGATGCACTGAGCCAGGTCTTTGCACTTCTTGATGCCTATCCAGGCCTGAGATGATTCGTCATGAAGGTAGGGTTCAAGTATATTAAAGATGTCGCGAACCTGATTACAGTTTAGTTTCTGCATAATCCAGGGACGGGGGCAAGTAAATAGAAGAGTGTGTGCACTCACCAGACAGACACCACTAACAGCCTAATGACTTTAGCCAAACAAGCGTGTCTTAAGGCTCACATTATGGGGGATGGGCTCCAGCTGGCTTGATGCGCCTCTCTTATAATAGATATAAAGCATTCTGCTGAGACAGGAGCTCATTATTTCAATATCTGAGTCAGGATCTAAATCATGGGACGGCTGATTCATGGGCCTGGCATTTTCTTGGGCCAGCTGATCCTCAAGTTGTCGAATCCTTAGTTTCAACTGTGTGATCTCGGCGTCTTGACTAGGCTACTCGCTCGTAGGCCTCAATACATTCAATATATCGGCCGCCACCGAGCTCAGTAAGAGGCTTGGTGGAGTTGACAAACTGGCACTAGATGCACTGCCTACTTGCATCGACTCCTCCCGCTCAACCATAAGAGCTTGTCCAGGCGAGTGAGGCGGGGGACTTTGATTTTCATAGACGCAAGCGCTGCTTCTGGATCGCAGGCAATTGCTGCAGGGTCTCTCTCAGTTACATCAGATTTTGCGTCTCCGACACAGCGTACATGACGCTGTCGGCCTTTTGCGCCGCCCCTCAGACAGGATCATGAACTTTGCCATGAAGACAGAGAGATAGAGGCAGTGACCATTAACTTTAGCGTTTCACAACAGGTTCCTGTTGAGCATCACATGATAATTGAGATGAAAGGTGAAGAGTGGATGGATGGATGGATGGATGACGATGGGTTGAACAGGATAGAGGTTCGGCCCAACTTTGCCAAATCCGGAAAGTCAAAGCCGAGTTTATCTCCGTTTGCCCTAAGAGCAGGGAGTATGAAGAGTAAGTATTTCAAGGTAATGCTGTCTGCACACTGATACCAGATCCTGACCTTTTGCACTGAAAAGGCCTGATTACAAGCAAGAATTTGATCCGTCAAATCCATATATTCGACCTTACTGCGTCATGTCTGGGACAACTGACCAGTCACCCTCCTATGACGAGGAACCACAACTACATCACCATATCAGTAGTGACAAAGACCACGAGCCTGAAAATACACCCGAAAACATGTCTACAAATAACCCAGCACCCGATGGCGGGATCCGCGCTTGGTTCGTCGCCGGCGGCGCTGCATCGATATTCCTGTGCACTCTCGGCCTCGCAAACTCGTTTGGCACATTCGAACAGTACTACCTGAGTCATCAACTGAAGGGGGATTCGGCGTCCAAGATATCCTGGATTGGGTCACTGCAGTCCTTTCTCCAGTTCTTTGCCGGTATGCTTGGTGGTCCGCTGTTCGACCGATATGGCTCCATGGTATGCTGTCCCCAGTTACTGTTCGTAAGGAGATTGGATTGACATGACGCAACAGGTCATCTACCCTTCATCGGTGGCATACGTGTTCGCTCTCATAATGCTGAGTTTGTGCAAAACATACTGGGACACGATGTTGGTGCAGGGCGTCCTGATGGGCATCGTCATGGGGTTTCTGCAGATCCCAGCATTCGCTGCCGTGTCGCAGTACTTTGACAGAAAACGTGCAGCAGCCTTGGGCCTTGCCGTGTCCGGTTCGTCGATCGGCGGGATCATCTTACCGATCATTTTGTCCAAGATGCTCAACGACTCGTCGCTCGGTTTTGCATGGACAGTCCGCATCGTGGGTTTCATCATCCTGCCGTTCATGGCGTTTGCGAGTTTAGCCGTCAAGCCGCGCCTGCCGCCTCGCAAGACTCGACTCTTCCTCCTATCTCCCTACAAGGACATACGCTTCATCATGCTCCTCATTTCCCTGTTCTTCATGTTCTTCGGCATGTTCACTCCCTTCTTCTACCTCACGACATACGCCACCACACGAGGCATGGACGCCGCGCTGGCCGGGTACCTCCTCGCCATCGTCAACGCAACATCGACCCTCGGCCGGATCATCCCAGGGATCCTCGCAGACAAGTACGGCCGCCTCAACACATTCGCTCTCGGCGGCGTCGCCACGGGAATCATTGTTTTCTGCATGACCTCCGCGACCACGCTGCCTTCTTTGGCTTTACGTCAGGCACAATCATCTCCGGCGCGTCGGCGGCCTTTGCGACCTGCCCGAAGAATCCGCAGGATGTCGGCACCTATATGGGCATGGGCATGGCTGTGGCCGGCCTGGGGGCGCTGATCGGCCCGCCTATTAACGGGGCCATCTTTGATGCATCGGGAGGGTTCTTTCAGGTCTGTATGTTCAGCGGTGCCATGGCGGTTGTGGGGGGATTAGTCGCGTTTGCGGGCAAGTCTTTGACTAGCGAGGGTCTCCTGGGGTGGGTTTGATGAATTGAACTGGATGCACTTTCTACCTAGTTGCTGGACGGCCATGATTTGACCTTGTGATTGGGAGTAAAAGCGCTCTCTAATATTTACATATAAAGAATAGATGCATTTAGTTCACAGTAACACTTGCGAATAATACTGAAAGAAGTAGTTCCAACAGCTCCCTCAGCTAGGTCAAGTCGTGCTCGAGATAGATCTATCAGTCTTCTTCAAAAGACGACTAACCACCTCAGCAGCCTCTTCAACTACAGCCCTAGTCTCCCCGTCCAGAAATCCCCCCTGGGCACTCAACTCCTGCAGCCTTCTCCCCCACAGCTCCCACCGCTCCCGCGTCAGCCCATCCTCACTCGGCCACAACTCCGTCTTCTCATGCAATGCTGCATCCCAATGCCGCCGAAGCTCCTCCCCGTCCGCCTCCCACAGCGCCACCGCCCCATCCCGCACCCAAGTCGCCGCAACCCGGACATCAAGCGCCCAGACTTCCTCCCACGGAATTCTATGCCGTTGTTGCTGCTGCCTCCGATCTAGTCCTTCACCTTCACACTCCAACACATCACGACACGCATAAAACACCCAGATAGGATGCACCCCGTCTTTCCCATTCGTCGCTTTCAGCAGCGCAGCGGAGAAGGCGCACAAGCGGAGGAAGTACTCTGCGCCGCCGCTGCCTACCGTAGTAGCAGCGGCTGGGGAGATAGAATCACGCACCCCGTCCCAGTCGCGCCAGGCCTCGAGGATATCGTGCACATCGCGCCACTGTGCGCTGAAGCGGGGTAGGGCCGCCCAGTGGAGCTTGCCATCAGACTCGATATAGCTGCGGAGGTTGCGCTGTGCGTTGGATCCGGCGCGGACGTTTGTAGGTTGCGTTGGTGGGTGGGTGCGGAGGGCGTCGAGGAGGGCGAGGTGCGGGGTGTGTGTTGTTGAGGTGGCGACGGCGGTGAAGAAGGCGTCCCAGAGTTGCCAGAGGGAGTGGGCGGGGTCTGAAGAGGTGGTGACTACTGTGATGAGGTGGGCGGCTGTCGCGTCTGGTGTTGAGGATGGGTTGATAGAGAGTAGAAGGGTGAAGGGATTTGGGGGGTTGGTGCCTGGGATGTTAAGAATAGTGGTCATTTGGTGGAAGGTGAAGAAGTTGAGGTGTTTTCTTTCAGTTTCTGGTGGTCTTAGGTTCTTAAGTCCTCAGGTCTTTATCTTGTCATTTAACTAGGTAAATAACATGACTCAAATCTTGAGGTAGTCATCAAGCAGGTTGGCGTTAGGGTAATTCCATGTGGAGTTGCGGTGCGGCGGCCCCGGAGGTGGCGTTGGTGGGGGCCGGTACTGATATGATCAGGCTGCTTATGGACAACAAAGATGGGAAATCATAGGATGTGATTATGCGCAAGTAAGCGACATAAATCAAGGAAATGAGCCGAATAGCTTATCCAGCCCCCCTGCAGTATTGATGTAGTGTCATATTTCCAGTGACTTTGGCCGCAGACTCAGCCTTATGTAGATTCGATCAATCAATGATAAAATGGGGGCGGAGCGCCAAGAATGGCTGTCTAGGCAATATGTCGATATGTTATTGCAGGATCAGATTGGTACTTCCTATATCTTGTGTGGCTTATAGACTAATTATTACCCTTGACAAGTTAGTCTAATAGAGAATATCTTGAGTAGAAAGGTGACCCAACTACAGTGTGTCGCTAATATTTAATAATATATCGTCAATGGGCCACGCTGTCGGTGTCTATTTCTGCTCGGAATATCCGGTACGGGTGGCATCATCAAACGCTTCAGCAGATTGGGACGAGATCCAGGTAGAGGTCGTAGAGAGGGGCCGGATTGGCCGCCAAAACGTGCCATATACTGTTATTGTTGTGGTTGTAGGTGGAGCAATAATATGATATTGCTTGTGTGGGAGAAGTCTGTTGTTCCTTTAGTGCAAAGGATACCTCCAATTATCGTCTACACAACAAGCTTCTCTATCATGTATCTTTGTCCAGTGACGGTAGCCTTATACTTCTCTGGCATGGATTTGTCTACCCTGAGGCACCTGGGCTGCACGGTACCGCTTTTCGCACTTTCCGCCCAGCGAGGTAAAAAGTGACATCCTTGTTCCAGTGAGACCACTATCAGTGATTGGAGACATTGGCCTCATTGATGGACGAGTGAAAATTTTGCCCCAGATGCATTGAGCGCCTCACTTGCCCACCGGTCAAGGCCCCTGGCTACTAACAGACTGAACCCTAGTGGTTTGGCGCTTGCCATGGGCCCAGCTGTATCAGTGGCTGAATACCATGTAATGTGGGCAAAGCAACGGTGGAGCATGCACTAACTCATAGATAGTTGACTGATCCAACAGGATCTTGTTTGCGACAATCAGTGTTCTTTGAAACCAGCATATGCCGTACTCTGAGGACTTACAGAATCATTTTGTATAGATCGAATCATTAGAATAAAGCTGTAATGCTGGTCCAATATGTTCCCTCGCATTTCGATGCTCCAGCACTCCGCTAGGGAACATGGGCAAGTTGACTAGTGTTAGCGATCCCTGATCAGAGTAAAAATAAGGGTAATGCCTCATAATCATAGGTACTTTAAGAAAGGACTCAAGGTGTGTTTATGCCCCTGTTAAGTGTGGGGTGGGCTATTTTAGTCGCTTCTTTTCCACTTACAATAACCATTACCAACGCCGGTTCTCGCCAATCCGACAAGCCTCGGACAGGGGTAAGAACAAGAAACGTAGCATTGACTAACCAGGGGCTTATGTCTCAGCCTCTCAGGCCGCCATCTCCAGCGTACATTTGTTCCTAACAGGCAATGCGTGCATGGTGCTAGTAGACATGGCTTGTCCAAATGCAATTGATTGGCGATACATGGCCGAGTATGCATATATGCCTTCCCATATGGATGTACGCCACGGAAATGAGGATCAGCCGTCGTCGAGAGTCTCTACCAGGATGTCGGGAACCGTCGGTTCACGCTGCTCGATGTTGTGCAAGGATTAGAGATCAGAAAGCAACCTGGCGTGACCCGGAAAGGTTGACTCCGCAAGCAACATCTGGATGATCCTCCAGATATGATCTACCTGATCGACTGGTAGTGTAGGCATATTGGCCGTTAACCGGGAGTAGACACAGGACTATTCGTGGTTCGTCTCTAGTCCCCGTCAGATGCCAAGACAATATTCTCCGACTGTTTAGGGAAGCTTTTAAGAAAGAATTGCTTTTCTGCGGGCCTCTCCTGCTCTTAAGTCTGCTTGTCGGTTTCCTTGTCGGTTCAATAGGTGGCTAGGATGACGTCCAACAAAAAATCAAGGCTTCCCCCATATCAACTGGGCGAGCATGTCAGCCCTTCAGTGCATTTGAACTGCGTTCTGCTGACAACTACAGTGGTCAACTTCCTGGATCTCCTCCAACTTTCCTTTGTACTCTTTGCCCTTCCTAATATCCAGCAGGCTCTCGGATTCACGAGTGAAGATATCAATTGGGTTTTGATTGTGTACAACATCACCTTTGCAGCGTTCCTTCTGATTGCTGGACAACTGGGACAGAGGTTCGGGCTGGAAAAGATATTTATTGCTGGCACAGCTACTCTCACCATATCCAACGTTATCAACACGACAGCACCAAACAAAGCTGCCTTGCTCGCCGGTCGTGCTATTTCCGGAGTCGGGGCTGGGTTGACTGTAAGTTAATCCACCAGGGACGGACGGACATGATTCTGATACCTCAACGTTCTTGAGGCCCCCAATGGACTCGCAATCCTAAGCAATACATTCCCAGATGGGGACTCCCGCAACAAAGCATTGGCCATTTACACTGCATGTGGCCCTCTTGGGTCGACCATCGGTACTGTCGTCGGTTCTCTTCTGGCATGTATGTGTCTGCGTCTGTCCAATGTGTATAGAGGCTTGAGCGTCGCGACTGACTCTTTATAGCTTCCGCAGCAGGCTGGAGATCTATATTCTGGCTGTGTCTGATCCTCACAGGTCTTTCAACAATACTGGCCTGTTTATTTCTGCCACGGTTTGCAAAGAGAAAGGACATACCTATTGATATACCCGGTACCCTTGTCTTTACCGCTGGTGTAGCATTACTAGTCTACGGCCTCAACGACAGCTCGCGCAGCGGTTGGACATCCGCTGCAGTACTGACCGGGATTATCCTGGGAGTTTGTCTCCTAATTGTCTTCCTCTGGGTGGAGGCCAAGGTTCTCAACCAGCTATTCCCAGTTACCTGTGGAAGTCTGCCCCGTTTCTTGTGATGCTGGTTGCCATTTTCGCCTTTAGAGGGAGCTTCAGTACGTGGTTCTTCATCTCCACACAACTCTGTGTCAATCTCCTGGGTTACTCTACAATCCTAACTGCCGTGTATTTTCTGGTATGTCTGCCCCATTCCATTCTCTATCTCAGATTTGGTGCTCGTGCCTGACCCACAGATAGCCCGCTGCGTTTGCCGCCATCGCAAGCGGAGTTTTCGCTAACCCCACTGATACGACTAGCAGGGGAGAAGAATATCCTCGTGGCCGGGCTAGCCATCACCGCCGCTGGTGCCGTCGCATGGGCATTTGCTACCCCGGGTCGGGCCGGCGGTACCAGCCACGGGGAAGGATACTGGTATTCCATCGTTGCAGCCATCATCTTTGTAATCGGCAGCCCCGTCGCTCTTGTGCCGACTCAAAGCATTCTCCTCCGCCAGGTCGAAGCGGGTAATCATGCGGTTGCGGGTGCGCTGTTCAATACCGCCTACCAGGTGGGTGCGAGCGTCATTTTGGCTGGGGCGAATGCTTTGATGAATAGGAGCCGCGAGAATGTACAAGGGGTGAGGCAGGTTACCATAGACGGGTACTTGAACGCCTTTTGGTTGATAGCTGGTATGCTTGGGGCTGCGGCGTTGACTGTTATGGTTTGCTATTGGCCTGGGAAAGATGGTCTGGTAGAGAAGCAGATGGAAGAGGCCTACGCAGCGGAGCCTCTTGCAGTGGACAAAGTGGAAAAGATCAAAGATGCAACTGCGAGTGCCGGGAGTATCGCAGAAACAAGGTGATGGTGTGGAGATACTTGTGGTCCGTGTTACGAGACGTGCCTTGAGGCCTTTAACCTTGTATGCCATTAGACCAGGTGTCGACTGAGACCGAAATGACTAGCTAGCCCCTTCAAGGAAAGGCGAGTCATCTAGAAAGAATTGAAGAGCTCAGGGGGCTGAAAACCACGACTTCATCATCATCAATTTCCCAGCCTATATCTGTCATAAACCCACGGAGTCATATTCCCAGCACTTTCGTACGATATCACCTAGATAATATCATTCAAGGACGGACTATTGACACTCCAATGGTATCTCCTAGGGAACTTTAAACCTTTCTGACAATTCTCTTGGTCCGCTCATCCTCTCATCTATTAAGTTATTAAGGTGGCTTCCTCAGTCAATCTCAAATCACATACAATTTCCTATGCAGTTTGATATGCGTTCAACCAACATTTTCCAATTACAGCCCGGATATCAGCACCGGCGCCCCCAGATCTGAAAATTCCTGCTGATGCAGTAACTTCCGGATTTCTCTGCTCGACCGATCAGCATACAATTGATGTCCCACGCAGATTTCATAGGTAACCGTCACAAGAGCAAATAGGTCATCAATCTCGGTCGAATCCAAGTCATCAGAGCCACAACACGGTCGTTCATATCGCAGTAGTAATGCAGAATGAACGGATGATGGCCATGTCTTTCATAGATGCGTTTTTCTGTTGGTTCGAGGTTTCCCACGACGGGATGATGATCGAAGCTTTTCTTGACAAACCCGTGTCAGCTGATTCGGCAATATTTCAGCTTCAAAATATCAGTATGATAGTTAAGTTAATCACGACAACCAGTCTCCATACATTTCATCCATCGCATTCCTCAGGTGTTGTACATCAAATAGCTTGGGCTTCTTTCTATCTGGTATATCAGAAACTGCCTTATCAACGTGAGTCCTCAACCTTTCGACAACATCAGTTCCAATTTCGGAACGATTTTCATTGCACCAACGGTTGAATATCAGCAGCGACAGCAGGCCAGCGGGCAGACAATCAGACCTGCGACTTAACAGGGCCAAGATAGGGTTATAGTGCTCTGAGAAAATATCCACCACCTTGACAGACGCCATAATGTCCGAGTATCGACGACCATTCTCCCCATATGTGATCCCAAGAGTTTGCAGCATCTGCGGAGGGGAGAAGTTGACTGCGCCGAACGGAGACAGCCCAGCAGCAGGATCAGTACATGGAGGAAAGAAATATTCCATCCTTGTCAGAAACGGCAGGTGCAGAAAGTCCGGTAGGACGAGGTATTCCAGGAGGGGAAATGCACTGAGAATCTGTCGAACAATATGGGCATTATAGTACCAAAGGGCAAGAACCTCCTTGAAGAAGAAGTGTTTCATCGCCCCGATGGCAGCCTCCTCCAACTGCTCGCTATCAGCTAGACTCCCGCCGTTCGGACGGTGACCAGCGCAGTCCGCAATCTTCAGGCCTGCGGCAATGCATTCATCTACAAAGGTGTCCACCATCTTCTGCCCGATCGTCGCATATCCCATGCCTCCAACGGCACCTCTCATCACATCCATGGGGTCGTCATATTTCCAGGTAATGGCACAGACATATTTGCGTGAATCCACTGACGACTTTGCCAGATCCTCCTGGAGAAAATAGAGCTCGGGAAGAGAGTATGGATGACAGAGCTCCACCATGCAATCCCTGAGCAGTGGAAATGTCCGAAGGCCTTCCTCAGATAAGAGACAGGGAAGTTTTAGAACTAATCCATCCCTTGTTGATTTTCCTTGAAAGACAAGGGAACGGGTAGCGATGGCCCACGAACTGCAGACGCCACGGATACTCTTTGTTTTGCGGACAATCAGGGAGAAAGGCAGAATCCGACACGATAGGCGCTTCTGGATGGACTTGTCTGTGTAAAGTTCCTTTATGAGAACGTTGTTCAAAATTGTCTGGAGGATTTCCTGGGGAAATGATAAAAGGAGGCCTGGCGACTGGTTTGTTGCCTGTGGTAAACACGCCATGGCTTGATCTGTTGCCGTAAGAGACTCAGATTGAGTGCGTAGCTCTCAGTCATAAAACCACTTCACTAAAAAACGTCTATAGTATAGTCGTGTAGTAGGAATAGAGTTGTGATAATGTGTTCAACAGTCCCAAGAACTAATAGAAGCCGGCAAAGCTAAATTGTGACTGCCACGCCCTTTGATTGGTCAGCTAGCCCAGTGCTCTTCGATTCATTAATGGTATCCAGGGGACCAGGGCATGATCAGTTGAACCTGTACCTGCAGACTACCTTATAATTCATCCTGCTCTTCCATCTGTCCCGCTGTCAGTTTATTACTTACATCCAGAGGCAATAGCTGGGAGTCGGTCAACAATGCAAAGTACTCACAGACTCACTATGGCTACCATAAGTCATCCTATATGCAATGAGAGTCGAAAGTTTCCCTCTGGAGACACTCGCACGGCTTGTGACCTCGTAACCAAAACAACGCTACTCCAAAATTAGGTAAATGACCCCTGCTACGTCGCGGCTTAGTAAGGCTAAGCCTTAGTATCCGGGGTCAGCTTATTATGATTAGCTAGAGCTATCATAATAAAGGCAGCTGCCTAGTAAATGTGGAGGACAGAGTTGAGTGATCAACAGGCCTTGACCTATATTACTAACATGCATGATACCTATGTATATCGGCTTTCCGCGCATTCCAATCACAAGCTAGAGAGGCACGTGATAATAATTCTCAGGCATATCTCCCTTAGCGAAATAGCTGGAAGAACTAACGAGCCTATGATTCCTCAGCCGTTGAGTAGTCACGTAAAGACATACTGTACTGTCCATAGTTTCGCTCCACATTCAAACCTCAAACTATCACCATAACAAAGTATGGTGTGGAGAGTAGAAGCAAAAAGAGGGCTAGTCAATGACGTACATACCAGGAGACCCAACCAAACATACGGAGTAGAATACATGTATAGATGTCCGCATGCAGCAGTCCTTTACGTTCAGGTTGCTCCAACATTAACCCACAGCTCTGTATAGATGACGTATTGCAATGAGGCTGGACTATTTAGATGCGCACTGCGTCTCTCCTCTCTTAAGTTCTAAACTTAATCATTCTTCTGATCAGTACAAGCGACAAATACGCGAGAAGAAAACAATGCCTAAGAATCTGGTGCGATATCCTGTTTTTTACTTCATTTGTGATTTACTAATGAATACAAGACATTCGATATCCGCTACGACAATGAGCTTGCTCATGAGTTTTATGGGGATGGGGAAAAGTTAGCTAAACAGTAGGCCTTCCCCACCTCCATCATCAGATCATCATATGTAACAATGAATGCAGGGTCCGCCGCATATATCATAATAAGGGTCTCACCATCCCCGATGAATTCGACAGCACATTAACTATGCCACCTATACATTTTATGCAGTGCGTATGCTGCTGAAAGATAGTAGCTGAATGCTGATGAAAGCAGGGTGTCTGCCCCAGATGGGACTGATGTTGAGGAGTTAAAGAATGTGTCAATCCCTCAGGGCCTGAGTATCGAAATAATTGACTTTGACGATGAGTAGCTGGTGTAGTGTCTTCTGAGAGGTTGACTTGCGTGTTCTTCCAATAGGGAGGTGCATGCATGGCTTGCAGTGTTATATTAATTTACCATGTTTAACCGTCAGTCAGAATTACCCTCCGAGTCTTTTTCTCCCATATAGATCGCCTTGAAAAGATTTCAGTAGGTGGTCACATAGTGCCTCGAGCATTGCAGGAGTGATGCTTGGCGGCCGGCCAGCGCAGACAAGATGAGGTCTGTTTCCAGAGCATTCTGAAATTTGGCAATATATAGCGCAGCCCTTCTAGCAAAGGAAAATCATAATCTACCTGCAGCTATCAAGAAAGAAAAGGAGAAAAGGAAGCAATCTAGACATCAAATGTCTCCCAATAAAGGACTCTATATCTAGGAAGCTAGGGATCTTATCTCGGCAAGAAACAAGCGAGGGAATGATATTGATCCCACACCTTTACCTTTAGAGCCCCTAAACCACACACCACTAAGGTGTTCTAATTACTTCATTATAAGGAATACTAGAGATAGATGCCCTGCACGCTGTACTAGCTAGATCTAATCAAAATATATTGTTTTGGTTGATTTGATAGCTTCAAACATTCAAATTCGTCAAAATTATGGGTGTCTGGCTCGTCTGGGAATTACGTTTACTAAGGCTTAGTCTTCTAAGCCGCATGAATCATTGTTTTAAGAATAGATTTTGTACCCGGAAAAATGCAATATTATTATGTATGATGGTAAATACACAAGTGTACACTTCCACCTCGCTGCCGCTCTATCCTTCTGCTGCAGTACTATTTCGAGGATTGTGACACCGAGGCTGCCCTATCCTGAACGCAACAAAAGAATGATCAAAAATATCCGCGAGAACTTATGAAAAGTTGAAAATAATAATTATTCCGTGCATAGAAATTGTTGACTAGAATGCTTATTCTCAACAATCACATGTTGGGGCCAACGATGCCGACGATTACAGCCTACTATTGGGTCGCTCGCGTAAGAGTCATAAGTATTGCTTACGCTCCAGGTAGATAAAGGTTCGCTCAGGCTGAGTAGAAAAGTGTGAAACTTTCCTCACGAAGCCCTTCTGAAGCATCATAAGTTCATAACATCAGATACTTGCTGTTTAAATGGCTACTCCTACTACCGCTACTGGCGGTTGTTTCTGCGGAAATGTCCGCATTGAATATAGCGGTCAACCCATGACATCGGTTGGTTTATCTCCAACAAATTGCTCATTGTCATTCTGACCTAATCTTCCCTCGCTCTGCCTTTCCAGGGACTATGCCACTGCCGCGACTGCCGGAAACTCACCGGCTCTCTCTACTCATACAATTTCGTCGTCAAACGGACCGACCTGAAAATAACCGGGAGCCCGAAAGAAGTGCCCAAAATAGCGGACAGTGGAAGACATATTAAGAATTATTTCTGTGGAGATTGCGGTGTGTACAATACAGTCCTATACAGCCCTGTTGGAAAGACATTATCTGATGAGATTGCCTAGGCACACCGCTCTACGGGCTGAGAATGAATTCTGATGGTGTTCTTGACGAGACGACCATTCTCCGGGCTGGGATATTCGATGATATTGGTGTTCTGAGTCAAAGGAGACCTGAAGCGGAAATATACACCAGCGGGCGTGTAAGCTGGATGAGTCCTATGGAAGGGACTGATCAGTTTGTTGGCATGGTGCCTCTACCTTGATTTGATGGTTGAGCTTCAAAGGGTAAACCTACTGAGCATGCAGACAACTATAGTGAGAGCAGACTTATCTTATGCATCAGCGAAAGCCAGGGTGGATGAAGAGGTCACACTTTTAAGTATAGCGTACAGGGGCAATGTCATATGCAAGTAATCACGGCGAGACAGATGTATTCATTGATGTTGGACTACACCAGGTTGTCAGTACCCCGTGTCCGTATGAATTCAACACTCTCGCAGTTCCCATAAGATGTAACCAAAGTAATAAGAGCTGTTGCTTATCTACACACGGTGGAAGCCTTGCAATGCATGTTCGACAAGTTGTAATCCTCCAAGGTTCATATCGGAGTGTTCGGGGAAGCAGCGGCACGAGAGCGGGTTTGATGGGTCGGGGAATCGCAGGTCCCAGTGAAGATTCAGGATTCAAGGCAGATGGCCCTGTCTAACAGAATCTTCCTACAGATTCTGTTAGTCCTATAGGATACTTGCAGCCATACATTAATCAATTATCATTGATCAACATGGAGGCCAGTATATTGGCAGAAACCAAGAGCAGGCATTACTCGGCCACCATGCGGCAATTGCGAACTATTGAGCTTAGCTTGTCAGGTAATAGCAAGCCTAAATAATATAACGGAGGGGCAAAAAACATTGAGTTATTGCGTGGTTGTACTAGACACTTGCTACTGGGTATCCTTATCTAGGGCAGTAGGGTATCTATTTAAGGCCCTCAAACAGGGGCAAAAATACTCAAGGGCACGATTCAATGATTGACACTCCAGAAGTTACCATTTAAATGGAGTAGGTAAAAAAGAGCTGGGGAATTTGGAAAATGACAAACCGTGCGAGAGCGCGACTCTCAACAGAAATGAGGGCAACAGATGATTTCCTGTTTAGAAAACATTCCAGGTGCGAAGGTGTCCTCCCAAAACTGGCTTCCACTTTTCGGCAAATCCCGTTTTATTTACATCACCCAACCAGAATCAAACGCCTTAACTACTCAGCCACCTTGCTGGTTGTATGATTCAAGTTCCAGATTGAAATTGGATAAAAAAGAAAGAAAAAAAAAGAAACGACAAGGGCCGGATTCGAACCGACGATCCCTAGGGAATCAGCTATTGAGTTTGCTCAAATTCAAAACTGACGCCTTAACCACTCGGCCACCTTGCCTGTTGCTGATAGTCAGTTTCAGGACTGAATTAAGATGGAGGATTACTAAAAGATATGAAATAGACGACAAGGCCAGGTTCAATGACGATTCGTAGGGTATTCAGCGGCCAGCTTGCCTGTTAAAGCCCAATCTCCGGATTGGATATAGGAAAGAAAATGTCGAAAAGTAACCAAAGAAAAAGACAAGCAGGATTCCACCTGGTTCTCGAAAAATTTATTCACGATGATAAATTAGGTCGGAGATTCTCCTGCCTCTACAATACCCAACCCAGATCGTTTAAACGCCTTAACCACTCAGCTAGCCATCTGACCACAACTAGTTTGTCTCGTTATAGCACACCTGAGGAATAATATTGAGGTAAATGCCTTCCATAAAAGGGGGAAAAAAATGAGAACCGGATTCGACGGCGCTCCCTAGGGAATCAGCTATACAAGATCGGGACGGATAGTCTCCACCCAATCTCACCCAATTCGAGGCTGACGCCTTAACCACTCGGCCACCTTGCCTTTCTTGAACATAACAAATCGTAGTTCTGATCTCCAGCCGCAAGGACGCTTCTCTAGAGTCGGCGGTTGGCACCGTTCCCCACGGCGCTCCCTAAGGAATCATCGATTGAGATATAAGGACATACTCCGCCGTTATGTCAACCCTTCGAGACCACTTCGCCACCTTGCTTGTTGATGCAAAAAAAAAAAAGAAAAAAAAGAAAAGGAAAAGAAAAATCTAAGACCGACTACGCCTTAGGGACGGCGAAAAAAATAAAAAGTTTTAGACGACAAGGACCGGACGACGGCGCTCCCTAAGGAATCAGCTATGGAGGTTATAAGATAGAGCATTCGCCTTATCTCATACCATTCGAGGCTGACGCGTTAACCACTCCGCCACCTTGCCTGCTGTTGAAATATTAGAAATTGATGTCACTTATCATGACAAAAAGACGAATTTGTCTCCGGTGAAGTTAACTCGAGTCATGGCGATACGACTGTTTGTCAGCGACTCTGGTTCAGGACGTCATCACCAGTATCTCTGCGCAGACAGTTGATCCTTGGATAATGAGACATTGCATTGCCATAGCCATACCAAGGTCTGGAGCAAGTTTGGGCTAAATTCAACCCTTCTAGTGGAGAGAGCTCATCATGCTGTCGGGTGCGGGAATATATATAACAATACCCTAAATAAAAACAAGCAAAGGATTCTCATATACCCGGACACATAATCATTAAGATAGTCAAGATCAAGCACACGTATAATTGATAGTGTCTATGTCCATATATTTAATGGATTTGATGTATTTAAGAAAATATCTCTCACTACCTCCTTCACGCTCATGTTGGGAGATGTTGTTGAAGCGAGTGTTAAGAAGAGCTACCTTACGGCACGAGAAGCAAAATGCTTTCTGTTTTTCGGTTGGATAGTACTAATTCTTGACATAATACCCCAAGGTAGAGGTAGAAACGCATCGAAACAGCACTTGACATTTTTTCCCTCTCCTTTTCTGACCATAATCGCCTTTATCATGATTACTCCGTGCGGGTTAGCAGAGGCTTCACTTCGTGCTGCGCGCGGCCTCGAGAGCACCACGCCTGTCGCGGGAAGACTGAACGAAAATAATGAGCGAACGACGACCTTCGTCAGAGCCTGCTCAAGAATGATTAATCGTTCTCCTGCACGCGCCTCTCACGAGTCTAGCATCACTGAGTCGCGCCTCGCCGGTCATCATGACTCTTCTGTGTGAGGCGCGGTCTGTTGTTCCTGATCTGTTTCATGACAGAGCGCATATCTCGATCGTCACAGGAGGACAAGACGCCCACATCCCCGCAATCATAGCCGATGCGGCGCCGTGCGCGACCCGCCCCAGTCGCCGTCCGTCGTACTGGGATTGACTAGCTGAATGTGGAACTCATAAACATGTCTGATAGAGTGACCAGATAGCACATATTATGTTGTTCCGCCAATGGGGTGGCTTCATCTCGGAAACAGGTATCGAGGTTCTGGACCGTCTTGCGTAGACCTTTGGATTGGGGCCACTCGGAGGCGGTTGGCAAAGGCATACGCAGAGCGGTAGTTCGCTTTATCTTCTTTATCAACATTCTTGACAAATGATTATCAGCACCCTCATAAAACTACACGGTATAGCTGCAGACCTACAGTGACAACTTCCATTTTGAGTTCCTTTCAGGAGATTCTGTTGTCTTCCTTCAAGCCTGGCTTGTATGCGGAACATATCTGTCATCTGAAGTGTCTTTGCCTCATCAGGGAGACAAACAGGAACGATGCTCATCTTTTGAGGTCATGGAAACTTCTTGCTGTGTTATATAATTTCTGTTAGAAAATCCGATACCTCCCCAACTACGGATAGAGACTTGGCAAGTACCTCTCCGACGCATTTTTCGCCTAGTGGTATATAATTTCTCCACTCTTGCATTTGGTCTGCCCCCTGGATCCCTGCGTGGCGTTTCTTGGCGATGAGATCTACATCATGGGTCATGTGATATAATCCTGTTAAGGGGGAGGCGCATTGCTCGATCAAAGTGGTAAGAACCAGAATCTTTCCAATATTATCTTCCTCCCCGCCTAAGGATCACTGACATCGAATGTAGGATTTGTGAGCGAGGCGCAGCGCAACGTGATCATGGCGCACGCGAGCAGCAGAATGTTCATCAAGCATTACCAGCCGCGACAGCATGCTGGTTTGTAGGAGGTCATGTACAGAATTAACCCAGATAAGGAATTTTTAAGAGCTATAACTTAGATGAGCTGTTGGATTGACAGGAGATGACCTTAATACCTAACTAACACTAAAAAAGCATTAGTAGAGAAGGATCCTAAATTACAATCCACTATATAATAGCAAGTTAAGCTAGAGGATTATTGTGCTTAATCTGATGATCTAATGTTATGAGCCTTGTTAAAATAATAGGAGCACAATATTAACAATACTTATCACCACCTCTAGGAGAGATGGTGAAAAGAGATCCACTAGGAGTTTAGCTAGAAATAAGCAGTCATTAATATTAAGAGATAGTTGATAGGTGGTGCTGTTAATGACAAGCCTGCCTGAGAGGTGTTGTAAAAGGAGTTTGCCATGCTACTAGAGTAGATCTTTATTGTGGAGACCTTCTTCACTTAGCCTACTTCAGACTCATTAGAAGATGAGTAGATGAGGCATAATAAAGCTGTGATGGCTGGTATACAGTATTATGGTTTCTATGAGGGGGGCCCTCTCCACAGATGACTGAAACGCCCTGTATTAGATAATAAAGAACTAATAGCTGGTCCACTAGCTAAGAAGCAGAAGAGTCTGGAGCAGCTAACTGTATTATCATAGGAGGAAAAGCTTGGTGCTGTTAAAAGAAAGGTAGCAGCAGACAAGCCATCTGCGTGTTTTTAATGCTTAAAAGAATACTTAGATATTTATGGTGTGAAGAGACACTTTAAGACATCACACCTGCAGGATCGCAAGTGCAATTTCTGTGATCTGTCACTATAGCATGAAATGCACCTACGCTTGCATGTAGAGGAGGTACATCAGCTCCATACCTAAATATTAGTGCTTGTAAATTATTTTCTTTACCACTACTTCCCCTGCTGCAGATAGAAGAAATAGTTAGATCTTCTTCATTTGATCATAACCTCCTTTGCAAAGCCTCGCGAGAAGAGCTTTCATACTGTATGCATTCTGTATCACTCAACGGGGTATGTAAGCTACCCTGTTCCGTAGAGAATACCTCGAGGGCCGAAAGTGGTAAGAGTAAATTTGAGCTGTGGGCGTACCATTTTAGACATTGACCAGGGATGGAAGTCCCACGCTATCAGTTTTATGTATCCTGACCACAGTAAATCTTTGCCAAAATCGCACTGCCAGAACTTCATGAACATTGACCTTCTCATCACTCAACATAGGTCATGGCGCAAGAAATCTGTACACACACCACCCCAGAGGGAGCTACAGGAGTCATATAGAAAATGACCAATCTGGTGAATGCGCAGGGACGATCTCCTCGTAAATGTCCTCCCTTTTTACTAAGCTCCACCATGTGAAAAGTGCGCAAGCTGGGGACTGGTTTTCGAGTCCCTCCGGCAGATCATCAAAAACAGAACTGTCCGCACAAAATCGATCCCTTGGCCGGGTGACCAACCCAATTAGGCACAGTCGCCAATTATCCCATATTGGGATTCCAAGGAGTCGAAAGGCTTGGAAATCCACATATTTCAGAGGATGCATGACATACTGATGAAAACGGAGATGGTTGCGATACGTGCCTACAGCGCCATTTTGTCGTCCGGCGCGGCCATAAAACATTGTCCAGTCTTCATCCGCGGCTGGACTCTTTGGGGGTTTGGCCAGCTTGGGTATCATTAAACGTGCCGGAGCAGTCGAGGGCGATTTTTCTAATGAAGGAATGGTCACCAGAAAAGGGAAACGGTTGTCGAGGGATATTGTCTCGCTAGGATAAATGACAGCCAAGCACTCCGCGATCGTTTTGAGTTCTTGGAGACGCCATTTCAGCCAGCATTCTTTGACATAGCGCTCAGTGAAAGAGTTTTTGTCCTCTAGAGACCAGTCCCATCGTGTGTTTGCCGCGTGCAAAACGCTACTGAATGTTGCAAGCGTCCATAGAATGCGATGTGTTCGATATGTTTCAGCCCAGGAAGGAGGATGATATGTAATCCGGATGGGTTCGCTTGGGGGCTCAGATAATCTTCCCTCTATCCATTCAACGGAATTGCTGGGTGAGCCAACCACACGGCGAGGCTCTGCAATCATAAGACGATCCAAAAGAATATGAATGCAAGCAGAAGCAGCGTGACAGATACTCGCCGCTATACTGATGGCTTTTCGCACGGCTCCAAAAGAACGGTCGGTGGGGAGAGAAAGCGGCACAATAGATGTTGTGTAAGCGCCATCTAGTAGCTCCGGCAGGCTCGAGGGAGTAAATGTTCCCTCTGATTCAAGGAGGATGATATTGCGAAATTCATACTGTAGCCCATGGGAGAGAATTGGACAATTCTTCATGACCCGCTCAGTGATTGTCTTGTAATATTGGCCAAACACTTGATCCGCTTGGGCGGACGCTCTGAGCAAGCCATCTAAGCTAGCAAAGTCGGCACAAAATTCAAGGATGGACACTATTACCTCAGGTGGGAATGTTGAGAAGGGATCCATGGTGAGTGAGCGATCATGGAGAAAAGTGGGAGAGATAGGGAGATAGGGCCCAATTTAAACCAAAATTCTTGGCCCTCTGCGGTGTTGCAGTTATCGAGAGGTAGTAACTAGTACTACGGCAATTAGCGTCTGTCATGGGTACCAAGTAACAAGACTAGTTTATGAATCTAGAGCCTGAAGCTCAATATCGAAATATAATACCACTAGGCTAAAAATGTGTCCGGACATGATTCCTATCAGTCTAGGGTCTTATACTTTTCAACACTCAAAAAGAGCCCTGGCATGATCCACTTGCTTGACCCTGGTTGGAGGGAAGCAGATCAAAGGTGCTTCGTATCCCTTAGCGCTAGCCTTAATCTTGCTAAGTTTCGTCTTACTACATGACACTTAACTATGCACTATAACTGCAGCTGATAACATATCACTGTGAACACCAATCGATTCAGAATCAGGGTCATGTACTCCGAAATTCAGCGTACGCTGGTCATGACATCCCCCGGCAAGAAGCCAATGGCAAACAGATGAGCTCTGAGTCACCGGCAAACTTGCAGCCCGTCTCTACGATGCTCCTTTGGTAAGAACATCAATCTAGAAGCCATTGTTCACTGGCATGTAACTGGCCTGAATGGCGTTATTCGACCTTATGTTCAGATTAACTGCGAGTACCTAATACAGAACTTCCCAAGTGTTCTTCAATCTCTGTATGGTGGCCTAGTCCTTCAGCAAAGGAGCTCCAACAAGAATTGACGAATGCCATGACCTATACGGGGACAGCCATACTCGTGCGTCGCAAGAAGCCAGAAGAAAGTCACATATAGCGAGGAGGAGGCGGCCAAATCCCATCTACCACCCCGTTTGCATCCTTTGACCAAGCCGCCGCTCTGTGAAGCATCTCCAGCTCAGATGTATGTCGATACGGCCGATGTCTTGCTTCTGCTGGAGAAAGATCTTGCTGCGTAAGGCGAGCAAATAACGTCGGCGCAATGTGTTTAATATGCACCTTGAGCGGTCTTGCCGTCTCACCTGGCTCCAAAAGCCAAACAAATGGTCTTGCTGCATCTCGAGATTGTATGGCCTCCTCATCCACATACAGAAAGGCATCCAATCGCAGGCCCTGGGGAGCTCACCTCCATCACGCATGGAGAGAAACCGAGATTGAAGAGCAGCAACATTATTATCACCATCATCAGATACATTACTACTCTCCACATAATGAAGAGTAAATTTCGCCATAATCTCCTCATTGATAACCTGCGGCCTAGAATGTAATCCATGATAAACAGCCGTGTCAATCTGCTCCTTGACAACGGCCACTCGGGCATATTTCTCGGGAAGAAAATCAGAAGCCCACAGATTGCCATCTGGGTTTGAGATAGAACATGCTCCTGCCATGAGACACATAAAGTAAACCAAATATTCCGGACATCATCGTCGCTCAGGGTTTTTGAGGCCTCACTCTGGATGTTTCCCTATCTTTTCATGACGTTACGGGCGCTCTCCTGCGCGCGTTTCATCTCCTCTATGGTAGCTGCGGCCCTGGCTCTCTGCAAGAGTTCGTGATCAGTGGCACTGAGCCGCGCTGCTTCATGTATGAGTCTCTCATTCTGGGTAGAGTCAACCCCAGCGGCTATTATTACAGATTCTTTGTAGGTTAAAGAGTCTCCGTTTTTGATGGCCTTTTTGACAAGTTCAGACAGGCTTTGTCCACAGCGCCCGCGACAGAGAGCATCCTCCTCCTCTGGCGGTGGGCGGCGGGTGATTATTCTTCGCTCTTCGTCTGTAATGGAGGAGGGGTTGGTAATAGCTCGATTGTAAAGAGTACGAGTGGCTTCATCAAAGGTGATAGGGGTCCTGTCAATGTTGAGTATGACGTCTCCGTCGAACAGTTGAATAGGGATGGACATGTTGATTTTTTTTTTCTTTTTGTTTTCATGCAGTGACTGTGTAGTGGGATGTTAAGTTTTTTTTCTTTGCAACACTTGCAGAACAGCAGAATAACCAAGTTGACTCTATTATTATTATTGTATTTGTGCCCCTCACTTGGTCATTACTCATTTAGCTGCCTGCTACGGTGGCTCAGCTCCACCTCCTCAGCAGTCTTCCCTCCTTAGCATCTCTTCTACATAGCTGACTTCTGTCTACGGAGGCGTGTAATTGGGCTTTTACATCTTGCATTCCTCCATCAATCCTCCTTGTCTATCCTAGTCTACCACGCCCTTATGATAATGTTCAGCCGTCTGACGAAGCGCTTGATCAAGGCAGCTTGCTGTCGCTCTGCAACGGTCTTCTCGTCGATAATCGGTTGCAGATTTGGCGCTTTCCTCATTTATCGGTCCAGGAATGCTTGCAATCGGGGAACCATGTGTCTATCTCGCAGGCGCATCTGCACGTTGCCAAGATCTCGCTGTCGTTTCATGTTTATTGGTTTAGCTGATTTATTCTGGCTAGCCGACTAGAGTTTTTTAATTGTATCGCTCCTTAGATACTTTTGTATATTATTGCGAACTACTACTAGAACGAACCATAATATGCCTAGAGCCCTGTGATTATAAGTCGACTTGGTGAAATGGACAAATCAATCATCACCCTGCTGTGGAGTTGGTGTAATGAAGCAGAATACTTCTCCCCAAAGAAACAATCCTAGGCTTACCCCCAGTAACGCAACTGCAAAAATAAATACAGAAGGTCCTGGAGCAAAAGACTGCCAGCTTCCAAGTAAGAATGGCGACACTAAACCTCCAAGATTCTCCATAAAAGTCAATGCTGTGATCGCTCGCGATGCATCTGGCATGAATGAAACAAAATAGCCCTTGAAGAAAGCTGGCAGAGCTAGCCCTGCTGCCGCAACTGATACAGCTAGGTATAGTTGACCAGCATTCTGTACTTGTGTGATGCCTATGAGAGCATGCATCTGTATGACTAGTGCTGCGAGTACAGTAGTGCTGTCTGCAGACCTGTCTGAGTTAGGCCTTAGCCATTGCAGGCTGGGCATGATGAACACTTTAAGTAAAAGAGGCACACTAGCACACGCAGCAGCAATGGACACAAGCAGGCCATTTTGAAAAGCACTGAAATGCAGCCGGATTGAGGCAAATACCATGATTGCAGGGAAGAGATGGGCCTGGACAGCGGTATAAAGCAGCAGGGACAGCCCGTAGGGGATGGCACGGGGATGGTCAAGGAATGGTCGAAGTGGGGAGAGGAGGACATCAAGGCCTGATCGGAGTGGAGAGAGCAGGACATCAAGGCCTGAAAGAATCTTTGAATGTGTTTCCACCTGAGGCATAGCCTGCGGAGCTGGTATATAGATAAAGATAACCAGGTATGCCAGTGTTATGCTAAAGATGGCCAAGGCTGCAGTGAAACTTGCTGTATAGCTCTGAAAGATGCTCACTGCAACAGGACTAATAGCTGTCCCTAGCATGTACAGTCCAAGTGAAGTAGCTATGAGCTGCGAGGCTTTTTGACCAGAGGCAGAGGATGGCAAGGTTAGAGAAACATAGATAGTGTTAAGGTTGAAATGAAGCAGGTTATCTGATGCAAGGCCCTCAAAAATGCGTCCTGACACCGCGATGGTTAGACTATGAATGGATACTGCTATGGTCAGCCATGGTCAGCCAACAATCTTAAGATGGGCGAAATTAACTACCTCCAACAACAAGGCATATTACACTGGTGGCCCGGCACACAATCCAGATTAGCAGGCCGGCTTGTAAATGTTTCTTAATAAGTCGCTCTATTGGTCCAAGGATCATAATAGCCACTGCATGGGCAATTCCACTAGCAATAGCAACCGCGGCTGCATAAGAGCTTTGTTCACCATCATTGCAGGAGGTTGGATCCTCACAGAGGAGAGTAGCATAGGCGTAAATGGTGGTGGCAGTGGTGGCTGCCATGCCGAGAGAAGCAAGTAAAGCGACAGGAAGGGTTCGATAAGCAGCGTTCTAAGGATCCTGGATATCATGATTTGCTTCGCTCTGTGAAAGCAGTGGCTCTGTCTCGCGTTCAATCATACTGAATTAAATTTGCTATCAAAATTGAAATGGGTTGAGAGTCGTGGGTTATCACAAATAGGTTTGGGGTAGCTTCGGTGGCCGAAATTGTCAGCACGGAAACCGGCCCTAACGAGCCCGCCTTTAATGGAAATCATTGCCAACCTCACCAGTTTACAGCTTCACTATGCCTTGTGTATCATTGCAGCATGAAGCCCCTTTTACAACTAGAGAATGCTCTCCGGACGGTGCTGGAAGTGTCCCAACAGCATGACATAGCAGAAACTCTTGCATCGCTTCGCAGAGCAGAGCCGTCATGCGACTCAGGCCTCGCCTCGACCGCGAGTCGAATCGTTGATTTGGCATCCGAGGTGGTTCAGCTGCTAGAACCGGCTCATCTTATCCTGGCTAATCATCTATTCGGTACGACCAACCATCTTCCGGTTCAAGGGCGGAACTGACACAAAATAGCATACCAGTATACGCAGTCACTGGCCAGCGCGGTTGAGCTGCGGATTCCCGATCATCTCAAATCGGGTCCTCAGACACTGGAGCAACTGGCGGCACTCAGCGAGGCGCGGCCGGATAGGCTGCGACAGGTCCTCCGACTGCTGTACAACCATGGCATATTTGCTTACGATGCAGCAACAGATACAATACGAAATAACGAAGCTTCTGAACTGTTGCAGCGGACGCATAGGGGCCAGTGGCATCAATGGGCATCTGTTTGCTGCCGCGAATTCTACGAGATGGCCCAGGGCCTTCCGTAGGCGCTGGGCGAGACAACTCTCCATGAGCCTGGCACGGCCATCAATCATCTCTACAAGCTAATATACTATAGGCTCTCCAGCACAGATTCACCATGACACTGACGAAAGCATGTTTAGCTACCTTGAGCGCAGCGGAACCATGATCCGTCTCCGAGGATGTATGGGGGCTGCAGCCATCGCACAGACTCCCGGCATGGTCTCCAGCTATCCATGGCACGAACTGGCCAACAGCACCCTTGTGGACCTGGGCGGTGGTGATGAGTTTCTGATGGCTGCCCTGCTACGAGAGGTTCCCACGCTGCAGGGCGGCATTCTGGATACACCACGAGTCCTACCATTCCTGCATGAAGCCTTCCATTCTGCGTCGGGCCAGCATGTGGATGTGGGCGCGTAGATTCCACCTGAGCCATTCTAACATGACAAGGCGCCAGCCTATGTTCAGTTAGTCCTGAGATATATACGGCAGCATTTTTCTAGCTTGCATGTTCATGGGGATCTTCAGCATGGGTGCATACACCCTGCACAAGACCTGAAAATGCTTCTGTTTTGGATTGTTGTGGAAATTTTTCTATGGTGAGAGCGACATTCGCAAATAGTCCGCTGTAAGATGCCGCCTACTGCATAGCATGCACGAATCAGTTTAGCGCAGCCCATTCCTTTCACGATTCCCTTGTCAGGGGGTGCCTCTTATGTACTTGGAACCGCTGGAAGCCCATAGGCGATCAATCATTGGCTTATGCTTTGTCCTCGCCTGTGCTCCCCATTTTCCTTGTGAATCGCCCGACTCTCGCGGTCTCACATCGGACCCCGCATCGTCGGCGACCGGCCTCGAAAATGTGATTTTTTTTGATCCCAAGAGATATAAAAGTCAGGGGCATCCCAAGTCTCCCTTTCCTATGGTAATCATAGGATACGACACGGCCTATTGCTTCTGATACCTACCTACCTTTCATCTTAATCAGCAATGACAACCCCACTCTATGATTGCCTGATAGTCGGCGGTGGTCCCGCGGGATTAGCCGCCGCGCTGGGTCTCTGCCGTGCGGTCCGTACTGCTATAGTTTTCGACTCCAGGAGCTATCGCAATTCTCTGACTGAACACATGCATAATGTGTCCACCTGGGACCATGCCAAACAGCAAGACTACCGAACGGCAGCCCGGCGTGAGCTGACCGAAGGCCGCTATAATACGGTGACACTGGCCGATGTCGCGCTACAAAAGGTGCACAAGTTGGACTCAGGCGAATTCGAGGCGACCGACGTGGGGGGGAAGACTTGGAGGGGCAAAAAGCTCGTCCTGGCCACTGGGGTTAAGGATGAAATTCCCGCTGTGCTGGGTTATGCGGACTGCTGGCCCAAATCCATGTGAGCTTCCCGCCTAGAGGCTTTCCCTTCGTATGTCTTCCAGAAAGAGGAAAAGCCAATGGCAATGCAACTAACGTAATTCCATGCAGCTACCACTGCCTGTTCTGTCATGGATTCGAGGAAAAAGGGAGTCCTTCGGTGGGCGTCCTCGCGCTCGGACCAACCGCCAACCCCAAACCCGCCGAGCATCTCGCTCGGCTCGCTCACAATCTGGCTAAAAGTATAATAATCTACACTAACAGCAATGAAGTGCTAGCTGAGCAGCTGCAGCCAGCCATTAAGAAAGACCAGTGGCTGCACCTTGACACACAGCGCATTAAGCAACTGCATAAGACAGACAGGGTTCCAGTCAAGGTGGAATTACAAGACAGAACAGAAAAAACAGAGGGATTTCTCGTTCACGTAATGAAGACCACCCCTATCCTGGACTTTGAGAATAACCTGGAACTTAAGCTCTTACCTTAGGGAAGCAAGTTCAAGACCAGCACACCCTTTGGCAAAATAACCACTTACAGCTGCTTTACAATGGGCGACTACAGAATGGCAATCAAGGCAGCCAGTATGTCCATAAGCTATGGATCATTAGTGGTGGTAGGAGTGGTGTCCTAGTTAGCTTTTGATGAGAAAGTGTAGATCCATTACTTTAAGACTGACACATATTTGCAATATGAACAGTCAATCTACAAGAAGACAGATTAAACTAGAGATAAAATGCACTTTAATGATATTTAGCCCTGTCTCTGCTACTAGAACAACCACAGGGTAGGTCATGATCCCAGGAACTCGCTGTCGCCAGCTGGGGATACTGGAAAGGGGCTGGCTCATATAGAGTCAGGACCCCCAGAGAAGGAGACCCATACTTCAAGGCAATTAAGGGTATGTGCCCTTGTTAATTCATGATCTAAATCCAACTGATATGACTGCTAGATGGAAGCAGCTAGGTGTGGTCAATCCCCCTGCACAATGGAACAACATCCATCGGGGTTGTAATGAACCAGGATAAGGCCACCATGAAAAAGCATGAGAGCAGATTAACTACTTAAGATTTCTATCTAAATATTATGTAAGACACCCCTGATATCCAACAGCTGCTAAACAACGCGGAACTGGTGTCCAATATCAAGTCCACATCGGACTGGTCCTACAGCACATCAAGCTACGCCAGTCTCTATCTGCATATTGCCAGAGATGCAGGCTGCTTTATTAATCCCTTCTTCCATCTGGTGTGCACCTTGCTCTCGCAAGCGGGCTGTCAGCTGCATTGACAATCTGTGCCGCCCAGAGAGGGGAATGTGCGGAGCCAGTAGCCGCAGAATGTCACTCAGAAAAGGTTGCAGAGGGGATACACCCGATTCTTACTGGTGGTGATGAGCGCTCTCAAGCAGATCTCAGACCAGGAGAAGCCTGTTCTGACCGACTGGGATGAAGAAAGTTTCTCCCGTGCATTTGGTATCTTCCGGCCTAGTAAGTGGATATCTATTTCCGTCCTTATTTTTACGAATCGTAGTACCAGGGGAGGCTGATTTCCACAGTCATCCAGGGAACGGTAGACGTGGACAAGTCTCTCACACAGGCAGAGATTGCGCAAACTGTTGAATGCTGCGTCCAGGCATTCGGAACTGCCAGTCCCGAGGAGCAGGATACAGTGATGCACAAGCTGGCGGCCATCAACAATCTGACGCGCAGTCCTGAAGGCGCACGCCAGCAGCTGGGTGCCAACTTGTCTGCAGATGAACGACGAATTTTGACTACGATCCAGGCACGGCAGATTATTCGGACTGAGGATACGATGAATATCGATAACCTCACCCTCGATGTAATTGACGGAATGGTCCCGAATCTGCAGCGTGGGTCGCTGGGGTTGACACGATATGTCCCCACGGCCCACGCGAGCCATAGGGATGACGTGCGGACGACACTGGGATTGCCCGATAAGCAAATTTCTATCTTTTCTTTATTAGGATCTGTACTTGAAAACTGCTGAGCTTTCGCTGGCCAACTGTTGTGGGCTTGACAAGGTCAGAGAGCCGTAGCTTAAAACGTCGTTATTCTGACTGTACTGCAACTGATACCTTTCCCACCAATTTTCTCGGTTTGGTTTCCTACTCAAGGGTAAGAGAGCGCACGCCGTCAGGATATGATTGATTCTCAAGCCGTGTATTTCGGGTTAGGAGAGACAGAGTTCGTTACAACGGTGTGATGCTATCCTCACGTTGGCCAGTGAATGAACTTAGCACTTAAACTTGGATTCTCTTGAGCTGGATAGTCGTAACGTCGCTATGAATGCGGAAGTATCATGAAACCTCCCCTTGCCTTTCACTGAGCTGTCTCTCTAGCCACCCGATCCAGGCAAGAGCCCAGCTGATGCTGCATGTTGTCACATAAATTCCGAAAACACTCCATAGAAATAGTGTCATCTTACGTACGTATAAGGTTGGATTTTCGAAAGGACAATCGTAGAATGCTTTCATGGAAGGGAGGGGAAGAACCGTTGTTAGCCAGCGCGCATTTGGAAGGCTCTGGTACTGTCAAACAGCTCTAAGTTCGAGTGGATAGTATAAGTTGATCTTCGGCTGCATTCAACGGTGCTGGCAATTGAGATACAGTTTACTCATTGCTTCTTAACAATATTACGAGTCTGGACCAAGGTCATGTGCGGACAGAAGACGACTTGGGAATCTTTAATTGCCAAGATGGACTAGACAGACTAAGCAAGATGCTGGATAAGTGCAAAAGCGCGTCAGATCAATAGGATACTGTATCCTTTCAAACGCGATACTCTGATGGCAATTTTGGAGATGGCGAGCTAGCTGCAAGCTCATCTCAATACCTCACTGCAAATACTGAATTTGTGAGTCTAAACTAGAGGAGAAAGTGTGCATAATATCGCTAATTGGAAACATCAAGGGCTATGTTGGCTATCTCTCAGAAGCAAACAGACATGGTCCTCATCCACCCATAGAAATACTTTGGTGCTGGAACGCCTGAGCCTTTTAGTTTAATGTATCTTACTCACCAGAACTATAGGTAGTCACTAGCTAGCAAATTTACAATTCTCACTGGGATACACGTTCACCGCTTACCTGGCGTTTGTTTATCAAAAACCTCTTACAAGCTGAATGGTGTTATTCGACCTTATCATCAGATTAACTGTAAGTACTTAATACAGAACTTCTTAAGTGTTCTTCAATCTCTGTATAGTGGCCTAAACCTTCAGCAACAGAGCTCTAACAAGAATTGATGAATGCCATGACCTATGCAGGGACAGCTATACTATGTAAGCTAGCCCTTGTTTTACGCACTATATCTTTCAAACATTATCTCCATCCTAGCACATACGACCACAGGGTGTGGAAAACAGGGCTTCCCGTCCGCTCAGCCGTACTTAAGCCACACGCCGGCCGGTTAGTAGTTGGGTGGGTGACCACCAGCGAATCCCGGCTGTTGTATGTTTTTTGCTCACCTAGTTTGCTTTCAGCTGAATATTCTGGTCCATCAATGCTTGATGATCACTAGCTGGATACTAGTGAACTAGAAGGATGCAGGGCTTCCGCAACAAGTCTACTGGAGAAACTCACGACATGCCCATGTCATGTGGAGATGGATTTAGCTTTGGGTGTTGAAGGTGTAGAATGACGAGATATGTTGGTTGGAGGTAATATGATGGGTCAAGATAGTGCTCTTTGGAAGAGGTATGTAAGTCCAGACTGAGTCTGATTGCTCAGAGGGAGGACAGATGGCGTCTATCGTCAACTGGACAATGATAAATAAGGGCCTGATATCAAGTCCGCTTTATTGCCCTGTGTAATCTTCATTGCTAATCCTGTCTCTAGAATGAATGTGTTCATGCAGATACACACAACAGATAGTTTTAAAGTCATTAAGCCTGTTAGCAGCAATACTCATGCAATGTAAAACTATACCAATGACAGGAGCAGGTATGTCCTATATCAATACACTCCCCGTTACGCGAATAAACTCCTCCTCACGGATCCACATTATCCTTTAACCTGCTCTCCCTTAATGCAGACAACACCTCTTGCACTTTGGTCTCCCTGTCTAGATATACTAAGTATATACTGCTGCCCTTCCTTCTATTAGTCCTTATAATAATACTAACTCCTTTAGAGGGCACGCCCTTGGCATCACTAGAGGTGGGTGGGAATCTTATAATAGTAGTAAAGAAGGTCTGCTGCTCACCAACCTCCTTAGTAGGGATATATAAAAATGGATTAATGACCTTGAACAAACCCTTGATGATTGCTATTCTGACGCCCTTAGTACCTCGCGCAAGGTCTGTTTTAACAAATCCGGGATAGTCATATATGAAAGAGACCTCTGGTGCTCTCCGGGCCAGTACCTCAAAGGAGAGCATCAGCATGGCCGCAAAATGCCCACGACCTGCGGTGGCGGATAGCTTAAACGGTTCACGGCAAAGCGGATGCGGGAGTAGTACGTCAGTGCCGCGAAGTAATGCAGATTTTCCTCGGTCCCTACACGTAGCCACCAAGTAAGGCACTGATCTGTAATCACTTTGATTGTTTGGTGTTGGGGGGGGGTGGGGCGCTCACTTGTCCCAGTGATGAGACTGCTAATACTTAAAAAGAGCAGACTAATCACTGTCTCTTTGGCCTTAATCTCCTGGCACACCTTGTTAATGCTCTTGAGCAGACTGGTGTTGCATTGCAGGAAGAAGTAGCTGCCCTTCAGGTTGATGGTCTTGAGTTTTATTTTAATGCGTTCTGCCCAGCTGGCTGTGCAGCTAATGAAGTAAATATGTGGTGCATGGCATGTTTAGCAAATTGCTCATTGCTGTCTTGCTGATGCTGCTTGTTGTACTAACAAAGATGGCCACTAGGCTGGCAGGGAGGGCTGAGTCAAGCTGTTGGTTAGAGGCCAGGATCACTCCAAGGGAGATCATTCTGCTGTTAATGTATAACTAAAAGTTAAGAGTTGTGTGAGCAAGAGCCCAGTTACGCGGTAGATAATTTCCCTGGGTCAAGGCTACAGACAATAGCTGCGCTGGTGCAGTGACAACTTCATGGGAGCCATTGAAAGGGGACGCGACCGAAACAGAACATCCATGTCACAAGCGTCTCCTGCATTTTCTTTCAACTGGGTAAATCGATGACCATGGCGTGGTTGAAGGAAGGACGATGACATGCTGATGGGATGTCTCGCCTAAAATCAAGATATACGGACGCCCACAACCCAATTGAGGAAATCATACAGCCGGAAGTAATCGCGGAGTTGAAGTATTGATGCATTGGTCTCAGAGTTCTCAAACTCCAAACTCCAAACTCCGAAGAGTGACCGGGTGACTAGGCAATTGACAAAAGAAAGAGAAACAATGGAGGGGCCAAAGCAAGGGATAATTATCCCTGACTCAATGCAATCTCGAAGCCCAAATCTGATGAGCTCCGCAGGTCATGGATCTCTCATGTCACATCGACCTCAGACTCCGGATGACAGCCAAATTTGACTGTGTTTACCCCATCCTCGGTAGAGTGGTATCGCCCATGTAGGCATCAGACAGTTATATTAATTGCGTTGGCCCGCTTATTACCCGTAGCCGCAATGTGAAGACAATACATTTGCCAGCAGCTTGTTGGTGCATCCCGCGGAATCCTGAAATACGGCCTTATGAATGGTTACAGTATTGTCTTCTAATGGTTATCTATGCTTCAATACAGTACCCTATTGGCGGTAGTAGTATCCCAATATGTGACTCTGTCAGACCGTCTGTGCGGGTGGGGGTATCTCCTGTAGGCGCTTAATAAAGCTTGGAACCTGTGATAATATGATAAATTGTTTTAATTAAGTAAACCCCTGTTATAGCGAGATAATTCGCACAGGCTAGATTTCTTGTTATAATGAGTTTCTTATTATATATGCGCCAATGGCTGGTATATGTTACTGCCTATACCCTGACAAAGACCGGCATCGTCTCAATGGGACATGCAACCTCAACATCTTGCCCTCCAGGGCGCTCCGTTTCCTCCCCCCATAGCTTCCATGAAGCTCCTGCGGGCAGATACACCGTGATCTTTCGCTGTCCGGCCTCAAGGACTGGCGCAACAAGATACTTGGACCCAAACAGATACTGCGCCTCAACCTCCCAAGACTTCTTGTCCTCTGGGAACTCATAGAATAGAGTCCGAATGACCGGCGTGCCCTTCTCATGAGCCTCTTTCATCAGACTCCTGGTGTAGTCCCGCAGCTCCTCTCGAATGCCGATGTATTTCTTGCAGATCTCATACACCTCCTCGCCATAGGACCAGATCTCGTTGTCAGCGCCTGGAGCAGTCGGCTGGCCTTCAGGCTTGGGCTCCCGGTCACCGTGCAGACGCATTACGGGACAGAACGTACCCCATTGGAACCACCGTGTGAAGAGTTCCCGGAACGCAGGATCAGCAGGGTTGCCCCCGTGGAAGCCCCCGATATCCGTCGTCCACCACGGGATTCCTGCGAGGCCCATGTTCAAGCCCGCAGCCAGCTGGTTGCGGAAGGAACCCCACGACGACGCGATGTCGCCGCTCCAGACGAGAGCACCGTACTTTTGGCTGCCGGCCCAGGCGCACCGGAGCAGGTTCACGATGTTCTTCTGTCCCTCGGCCTCCATGCCTTCGTAGAAGGCCCGCGCATATTCCCGGGGAAAGATGTTGCCGATCTGTAGGTTGCTACCAGCCTGGTAGCGGTAAATATCAAAGTCGTAGATCGAGTATTCAGGCTCGGCTTCGTCAAGCCAGAAGATCTTGATCCCTTTGTCGTAGTAGTTTTTCTTCGCCTTTTCCCAGATATATTTGCGAGCCTCGGGGTTCGTCGCGTCGAAGTGCGTGACGTCGCCATCACATTGCATAGCTACTCGAAGGCCGCGGTCATGTCTAATCAGCAGACCGCGTTCGAGCATCTCCGGGTAGTTCTCAGAGAGGTTCTCGACCGTGGGCCAGATGGAGACCATGAGCTCCACATTCATTTCCTTGA